GCAGGTAACATCACTGTATGCAGAAATAGAACTAGTGACACAGATATGCCAGTTTCTCTCTGTATCGGGCAGAAATGCACAAAAGTCCAAAGAAGATATACTGTACCTTTTTACTAAGGCACATTTTCTATGAGAGCATTACACACGGATCTGTGTGTATGTGCTTGTGTGTGTCCAAGGTTTAGAGAAGGATAGACTCTGTATACCTTGCTGAGGGATACGCCTTGCAAGTAACTGAATGTACAGTAGGGAAGGTTGGCACAATGTTCAGTATATTCAGCAGAACTGATCTGGACTTGACAATTCTGGGACAGGAAGTAAAATGTAATCATCTTCACTGCAACTGTCACATCTAACATGAATATTTTATATTTTCTCTAAAATGAACTCATTACCAGTTCTCTCTTACACACACGCACGCACGCACACACACAATCAGTCAAAAAATCAGAGTCAATATTGAAAGAAAACAAACGCAATGTTATCAGCTCTTTAGGTCATCAGTAAAAGAATGCAGACTGATAAGAGCTAAAAGATCTTACAAATGCTAACTCTCACACACATAGTGTCTCAAACAGATTAAATCCCCATGTGGTGTACCAATGCTTTAAATCTCATGCTCAACCTGGGCTGTTTTCAGGGATTTAGCCACATCTGTAATCAATGAGGGAGTTATTGATTCGTGATTATCTCCTACCTCTCACAACTCTCTGATGTTGTGAAACATGGCCAGTAGGTGTTCACAAAAGACCTTATGGATTAGAGCCATCCATGAAAAGTGTTTTTCAAGGGATAAATGCAGTCCAGTTTAATATTCAACCTCGTGTGAAGGGAGGCCCTCGTCCTCACCTCTGCTCCATTGTGTGTTGTAGCCAGAGGCTGGGGTTAGACTGAGGGGTGTTGCTGGAGAGAGAGTTCAGGGGTTCACTCAGCTCTTGGGGTGGGAGGTCACCCATCCGTTCTGTTCTTCAGGTCTCAGAATGTCTGACGCTGCATTCTGTAAGCAAAGCCTTGGGCTATATACAGATTTGGTGATCACGAAATTGACATTATTATCAAAGTTTAACACAAAAAGAGCTGTACTGTTTAATATTTTTATCGAAACATGGCTTCTTTAATGAATAGGAATTTCAGCATGTTTGTGGAAATAAGCATTTTTTGTGACAATATAAATGAATTACTATTGCTTTTGATTAATTGAATGCATATATGTATGCATTTTTATGTAGTTTAATTTATATTCATTAAAATACCGACAGATAACAGAGTATGCAGAAATAGAACTAACACAGAAATGCCAGGAAAAAAAACGCACATTTTCAGGCACATGTCTTGTGTGTATATATAAAAGACATACAAATCTATTTAGTACACTGGTTGCCATGAACTATGGTCAATTAAATAGTTAAATACAGGGCTTAAAACAGTTTCCAAAATGTTTTTTTTTTTTTTTGTGATCCAAACGATCACTGAAACCACATCCATAAGACATTGAAAATACATTTTAGTCATCGACCACATTTTGTGTCCCTCTTTCCGCCTTTACAGTTGTAGCAGTCATTTTTACCACTTGCTGCCAACAAGCCACTTGTCAGGATTCCACACTCACTCCTCCTACTCGTTCACAGTCCCCTGAGTTTTAATCAGCATCACCTGCACCTCCCTATATATTCAACTTCTCTTCACACAAGCATTCCCTGCGTCCCAATTTGCCTACTTATACTACGCCCTAAAAGTATGTACTCTTTTTGTGAAAAAAAAGTACTTTTGAGTGTGTAACAAAATAGGCAAGCTTTGGGACATATATTGTGTCATCTTTAGCAGACCGCTCTGTCGCGTTCATCCTATCGCCATAAACTGCCCTGTCAATCATCTCGTCACAGTTAAAATCCTCCATTCAATGGAATTTAATTTCTTACCGTTTCGGAGAGAAATGTTGTCGCATGTTCACCTGTCAGTTGTGGGACTTATTCAGAGACTCTCCTCATGTGTTTGCACCTATTTTACAACGTATTGTAACGGTAACATATTTTTACAAAAGTTCACAATGCTTCTGAAGATGCAATATAATGTAGCCAACATTGAATAAATACATTTTCGTCAGGATAGATACTTATAATTAATCACTCAAACCCCTTTATCTAAACAACTCTTCACAACTGCAGAACTTGCGTGTCCTCCATGTCTGTAGTTTTTTAACACTTTTTACTCGTGTTTGTTGTTCTAACCGAATCCTCGTCGATATAGTAGACCATCTGGGTTTCTTTAACACTCATTTCAACATACTATGATTTGAGACGTACCAATTCTATTTTCTAATACTATTTAGGACGTATGCGAATTGGGATTGGGAATCGCCATTTTGAAATCGCTCTGGTGGGAAGAAAACCGGAAGTGTGGCTTTTAATCATAGGAGAGTCGCGAATTTGATGGCGTATTGTTGTTTTAATGTAGAAATTAGTTATTCTAAAAATACATTTCTTTCATACTTTAGATTATATACAATGAAATTCATTTATAAATAAAAATTTTTTTAATACATATTTCAGAACGTAAAAAAAGAAGCAGTAACAAACTATAAACATCCTATATTGGATATTAACATCCAATTGTGCAAATCGCGGCAGCAGCTTTAGGTTGGTAGTCCAAGGGCATTGTTGTCTATGTACTTCCGAGGTTCTTCCCACCGGAGCCTTGCTTTCGATTTGAAAATGGCGGCTGAATGAAATCAGCATATTCGTTGACTTATCCACAATGCGCGCTGCCATGACGACGACTCCGGTTGCCAACTTTCGGTTCGAGTCTGATCTATGCTTTTTTGCCATGTGTTTTAGATTGTGTCATACCCAACTACATCGCTAAACTAAATTGAAAAAAACATTCATCAAATGTGATCTATTTAGGACGGATAGTATGCGAAGTGGGACACAGCAATTGTCTAGTCTCGTATTTACATGACACTAAAGACTTTTACTCGCAACTTACCCGAGTTCCATCCATCGATCACCTGCTAACCTTCACACGGAAGTTCAGTCTCCAGTCATCAGCCTGTTCCCAGTGACTCTCAACCCGCATATGTAAACAAAGAGTCTGGTTATCCTTCAGCTAAGTTTCATCCTGAGAATTATCTGCTTGCATACACTATATCTCTGTCTGGATCTCCAAACTGTAAATAAACACTATTTTACTGACCACCTGTCTAACTCCTGTTCCATCAGTGACACCACTAAAATTCCCATAAACACCATTGCTGGGGTCAGAAGTCACCATTTAGAGCGCTGCATCCAACTTGTCAATCAATAAAATCAATCTTCTTTCTCAAGGCTCTAATAGATATAATGATTGTGACTGCATTAGTATTCACAGAGGATATTATTTTGAAATGGGCTATTGGATGGGTGATGTTTATATGTCTTTTTACTGAATGTCTTTGACCCTGGTGTCAGAGAACAGTGTTGATGTGACCGAGGATCCTCATGTTTGCATGCTGATTTTACCACTTGCAGGCTAACAGCCCTTCTCTTAAAGCAAACACAGATGGCCAGCTACTAGAGCTCCCTGTCTCTGTTTCCCTCACACACACACAGACTCCTCTGGTCATTAAGAAGAGTTTTCTTCACTTTATGGTCTCATAAAGTTCTCTCTGCAAACATGTTTGTAGCTTTAAAAGTAATTGAGTCTTTGTTTTGGTGCTTATCCTACAGAATTGCGGCTCTCGTCGACGCTTGTCGCTCGGCTAATCAGCCTTCAGGAGACACATGACAGGTTTATGAGATGAAAACTCAACACACACACACGCTGACAGAAACACACAAACCTACACTTTCACACACACCTGTATAGAGACATAATCAGAAATACCTGATGGCACAACCTGTAATTACGCACACACTTGCACTTCTGGTTTCTGTTAAAGAAATGACAGCAAATCCAAAAAAAGATCATGGTGCAATATTGAAATGTTCAGCATTATGTGCTTTTATTCCCAGCAGCATGTGATTTGTCAGCGAACTAGTCAGTGAGAACATGAAATGACACACACCAATAAACATTGTTGCTGTTAAGTACTGTATCTATTTGACACATTAATGATATGTTAAAGTTAGCATTAAACATAAGTTATGGTTGTCTTTTCTTATTGTGATGTATATCAGACTGAAACGGCTTCTTGAACAAGAAAACTTGGCGCTTCATTTTGTCCATTGGGAGCTGATTGGATTGTTGGATGGTTGTGGTTTACTACTACTACTGATGTCATGTGAGTGACAGTTTGTGCCGCCCTCACTCCAGTAAACACGTCATCAGAGAAGAGATAGGATTTCTGCAAGAGGGAGGGGAAGTTATATTGATTATGATTAAAAATTACATGAATTAAAAACAATGATGTGCACAGATAAATACTGCAATTTTACATTAGTAAACTTTGAGCATGATCGTGCAAATTATGTTTGTATGATTTTCAAAGATGTCTGTCTGCAATTTTAAGGGCGCCATGCCGCCATCGGCCGACTAGTCTCTCACAGTACAAATTGTATTTTGTCGCTATAAATGCAGCAGTTACAAGTAGCCTAATCTTAAAGTTATTTTAAACTAAACATTATTTTTGTGATGACAGTCTATTTCTGCTGTGTAAATCTATAAAAATAACTCTATCAACTTCGACGCAAGTTTAGCCCTGACAGAACGTTGTCATAACCCCTCAAACCCCGCTATATTTCGCACACTAAAAAAATAGTACGAATAGCAAAATCTTTGCTATTTTTAATTGTTTTTCTGCTGACTCTCTCCACGCCTCATAGCGCGGTTTGGGTTCGCTGAGCGCAGCTAATTTGACAGCGAGTAAGTTGATTGAATAGCCTATTCGGGTTTGGTGTGGGAGGCGCCTGCGGCTCTCTCTCTCTCTCTCTCTCTCTCTCTCGCTCTCTTCCCCCCCCCCTGAACTCGCGAGGGGGGCGTTAGGCGGCGAGCACCGCACTCGCAGCAGGGACGCGGTTTGAAATCCGATCCTAGTTAATTTTTTTCCCTCTCTCCAGAGCCCGGTGCTCAAACTGTTAGTGGGAGTCTGTGAGCCAAGCTTTCACACAGCACCAAACGCCCCGCACTTCACAACTGACCCAGCGGCGCAGCGGAGCAGTTGTGCCCGGACAGCGCAGCGGAGAAGAGCGGAGCTTCCTCTGTGGGACCCCGATACTCTCTTACGACCAAACACTACATTGGCGCTCCTTTAGATGAACAGCCTAGTGTGGTTTTGATACACTTTTGAAGGGTTTAAGGACTGGACAGAGTCGGATAGCTCAAGGCTGTGTGGTGAACACAGCTTCTTCTCAAACACTCCACTGACTTCACGTCTGCTCAGATTTTTCTTTACGCCTGGATTTAAAAACTTCAGTGTATTTGGATGATTTGCCCCCTGAATGTGATTCAACTAACATCTGGAGGGACCTCTCAGACCAGTCTTTCTCAAAAAGCCGATCAACGTATTTTATTGTGATCTTGTAAAGGATTAGCCTACTGTCAAGACGGAATTTGGTGAGAAGTTTGTTATTATTTATTGTTATTTTGTCTTTAATAATTTCAGATAGCCTATATATTATTAAAAACAGAAACATGAATTATGACATTAAAATATAAAATTATAAAATAAATAGGCTACTCTGTCATGAAAATAACGTTAAGGCTGCTCATGCATCATTCACATGGAAGCAACGCCACATCAGAGGTGTCTCTGATATAGGCTAGTCATAGGGGCATATTTTACCTGTTATTATGTGGCAAGCATTTTCCACACAATTTGAAGCAGACAGGGCTGTTCAGACTCTTAATTTAAGCTGTGTAAAGACTCATTTGGAGCGATAGGAAAATGTCGTATTCTTCAGTAATTGTCTTGTTCTGGTTCCGAAAGCTGTTTTTCAATTAGATTTTCAATCAAATACTTCTAAATGGAAACAAAGTTTTAGTGTAGAAGTCAGCCGCGGTGACATGTGGTGTGTGCCTGTACGCTTTCAGTCGGACAGGTGTTGCGCGTGTGTGTGTGTGTGTGTGTGTTTGAGAGAGAGTAGCCTACCGCGTGTTCGGAAAGCTGCTCTACCAGTTGTGAGGAGAAGCCGCACCTGTGCTGAAATACAGTAGCCTACATTTTCAATAAGTCTCGATTTTAAGTCTCTTCAGTGTATAATTTAGCCTGTTGTGTGGACAGTCGATCTGAGCTGTGAAATTGACTACCCGTTTCCTGAGACACGAATCAGAAACCAGCCTATAATTGTTCAGAGCAGCAGCCGGTCTTGTCGTGTCCTATAGAGGTGTAGGTGTTTTAATGGTGCCGAGCCCACCGTGGGATGTGAGGTGATGGAAAACTCAGTCGAGGGTGCTTGTACTGTATAGGCCGATTTTCCTGTTGAGCGCTCGAGCCCTTTTTGCAGCACTTAAACAAAAAACTGCTAATTCCCTTTAGACAGTGTATAGAGCTATTCACAGTATGTTGGGTTTACCTGTTGTAAACTTCTCTCGTTAACATTCCCTCAGTTGACGTGCCTGTCTGATGAGAGACTAAACCCTTTACAACTTGACGTATGATGACGCATTTTAAAACCAAAATTACATCCATTTCTTTTGCGGCCATCTCTGCAGGGCTTCATTTGTGTTGTTTTTAGCTCACACTGAAGCGAACCTCGCCAGTTTTTCATCCGCCGTACCCACGGGCCATCTGAAACCAATTGTAGCTATCGGAGTGAATTAGAGTCTCTGGAGGTGTTAACGCGGGCTACTGGGGGCAATTAGCCACCTCATGTACCAGAGTCATTCAAACGACTGGAGTCCATGGTGAGAACTGTTAGGTTTTCACATAATCTTGAGTACTGCTTTATTTTTAGCAGATTGTTCATATAGGTCTCTTTGGACTTTCTTTCTGTTTCAGCTTGTCAGATTGCCTAGTGAAATTTAGTTGTTGAGCTTAATTTACCGATAAAGAAAATCAGTTGAATGTCTGAAAACTCATTAAATAGAGTAGAGATGTCTTTGGAAAACTTGAAAGATTTGTTTGCAGTGTGTGCAGCAATCGTCATCTCCCACTTTTCGAAATTTATACACCATTTTTTTGGGGAGATAATCATTACTTTTCTTGTCATGTTTCCCTTGCACTTTTCAAACCAGCTCTGGTGGGACTAGTAAAGGTCTCTCAGAGACATTCACACAACTCAAATGTGAGAGGTCATGCCAGCAGGGAAAAGTGAGGCTATTTTCAACTGGAATCCTCTACTAATTATGACCCTTAGTGGACCGGTGGCGGCTCAAAATCAATACGCCACTCTGTGGACTGTCGAAAGTTTGGGAGTTGAAGTCCTGAAGAAGTGTCATCAAACTTTCTCTCTCTTTCTCTAAAGTTTGTAATTCTTTATTTAGACCTTATTAGTTTGTAAGGTAATTTTAGTATAATATAAAGAAGAAACAAAACAAAAAGTGCACAAGAGCATTTTACACAATGCACAATGCAGTCCAAGGGCTAAAAACGGCATGAATGAAATCGAGCAAACAATAAACAATGGACAATGCTACTGTGCTCTCTCGCCCTTTCATCCTCCATTTTTTTTAATTACCCTTATGTTCACTTTTTCTGTGAATGGTTTCGTGGACAGTGTCATGCCAGATGCTGCATGTAAGCAAATAAGATGATGATCACAGAAATGTCACTGCCCGAAAAGTTTAGAGGAACCCATAATTTCACAGTGACACATCTGTAAATGTGGTTTGTAAATGGCTCCTCTGTGATTTGTGCGTGTTTGATGTGTTCCCATTTGGGGATGTTTAAAAGGGTGGGTTAGTGAGTTTAATTCTCACCTTTATGCAGTTGTCTACACTGAAGCAATGCACAAACCCCGAGCTGCACACAATCCCAAATGCACGCTAACAGAGCTTTCAGAGAGCCGCAGGAGGGCGAGTGAAGTCCTCGGAAGAGGATTACAGCCAAACTCTAATAGAGACACCTCAGACTTCAGCTTTTCATCTGCTCTCTCTCTCTTTTACTTTATCTTTCTTTTACTCTGTCTCCCTCCTAATCCCTATTTTCATTGGCAGATTTAGACTGGGCTGGCCGTTGACATGGCTGCACAATTACTGGAGATTACTGACATTTTTGAGTCCCAGATTTGTTGCAAGGTGTGACTAGCGTGTGATAGGATTTCATTAAAACCCTCTTTCACCCAAAACTATCAGACATTACACACATGAATATCCAGGATATGACTGCATATCCTCGCATGGTCTTGTTCCAGTCTGTAGTCGTTTGATTGCCATAGAAAGAGCGTTGTATTTTTTTGTATATAACACTTTAATATGCATTCAAAGTTGAGTGAGGGGGCGAAAAGTTAGAGACAAAGAAAAAGATACGGAAAGACAGTAAAAACATAGTAGCTAATGTTGATTTATTGACTTAACTGATAATCATAATATTTCAATGGAGTCCAAATCAAATTCTTCAGTAATCCCATAGATAAACACTGACTCTACTGAGAGAGTTTTACACACCACACGGCAGCACACTCCTGCGTATCAGTCATGTCACACAATCCCATCTGCCTATATCCTAAAGTTTAACATGCAAAGAAGTATATCCAATGAAGTTTGGGATCATTAAGATTTTTAAATACTTTTATTGAGGGAGGATCACGTGACACTAAAGACTGGAGTAATGGCTGCTGAAAATCCAGCTTTCCACCACAGATAAAAATGACATTTTAAAATATATTAAAATAAAAAAACATTTATTTTAAATTGTAATAATATTTCACAATATTACTGTTTGTACATTTAATGCAGCATAAAATTATTTTATCAAAAATTTTATAAAAAAAAAGTCTTACCAACCCCAAACCTTTGAATGGTAATGTACACTCTAAAAAATGCTGGTTGTTTTAACCCAATTTTGGGTCAAAAATGGACGAACCCGGCCATTGGGTTCAAAATGTCATTTAAAAATGTAACCCAATGGCTGGGTTCGTCCATATTTGACCCAAAATTGGGTTAAAACAACCCAGCATTTACATTGTGTTCAAATGAATTAAACTCATGATAATGTACAGTCATTATCACAAAACAAACTCAGACAGGGTGATCAGGATAGTCTTGTATCACCCCAAAACTGTCTATTTTTGTGATTATAGACCGATTCTACAATACATTTTAGGACATGAAATATTAATAGGAGAAAGAAACTGCATACTTTGTCTAGCAGAACTCAAAAATGGGTTGCCTGGTACAAAATGGTCAAGTTATATAGTATAGTGATCCTACAAAAATATATGACCACAGATTGCTGTGATTGGCCAATCAGAATCAAGTATTCCAAAAAGAGTCATGATGCATGATAGTATAAGGCTATTTCTAAGAATATATCAAAAGTTTGTTTAGGCCTCTCCATCACTGTTTTACTCTAAGATAGTATGGCTCAGAAACACGCTCTAAAAACACACCTACGATACACACTCCACAAATACGCTCCACAAATAAACCCTTCTCCCCTAGAACAGCCAGCCCAGCGCTGATACACTATCAGCCCACAGCACAGTGCACACTCCTGCTCCGCCGGCCAGAGAAAACACTGAGTTACTCAACACACCAACCCGGCTTCTCTCTCTCTCTCTCTCTCTCTCTCTCTCTCTTTTCAGTATGTGCTGACCAAGAATTGAGCGTCTGCTCGTCAAGGGAAAGAAAAACAGCGCCACACTAGCCTCAGGAGAGTTTGTGCGTCGGTTGGAGAAGAATGCCACCGTTTAAAGTTAACACAAACATTTTGTGTGTCTAAACCAAGGCTGTTCTGAAATAACAGGAGTTCAAGTTTAAAGCAACCCAGAGTTCTCACATTTTCTCAACATCTTTGAGCGAAAATCTCTCAGCGGGGAACCACACCATACAGCTCGCAGTATATATGTGTGTATTTAAAGCACTTTACATTCCTTTTATTGTGACTAATGTAAACTCTCTATGTGGCAAGACACAGACAGACACACACACACACACAAAGTGTGAGGGGAGCATATGTTTTCTTTAGAGAGATAAGTGTGTTTGTGTTAGCTTAGTGAAAGAGGTGTTTCAGAGTAGCTCGACCAGAGAGAAAAAGAAAAAAAAGGGAGAGTAAGAACGCAAAAGAGTTTACAACAAATCCCAGTCTCGTCTAAACTAGCGCAGGACACATAATATGAAATCACTCCGTTTCATGCTCTCGTGGCAGTTGTGTGTGGTCGTCGCACTTTATTTTTCAATTTACAGTATACGCAGAGAGCCTGAGACATAAATGGACGTCAGCATGGCATTTCAATAGACAAATTGCAAAATGTTGATTGAATATATGAGGCCATTTTTATTCTTCGTTATGATTGTTGAATTTGATCTTGCATTTCAGGTTGGGAACAGGCAGGAGTGTGTTTGTGGCAGTGCCACATTGACAGCATGTGTGTAAAGGTGGAGGATGTCTGAGTCTGGTCTCAGTGGTGAGGACACTCGTCCCCGCGTCGTTCCGCCCGGGATGGTCCCGCTCTGTCTCCTCCTGTACCTCGTGTCCCTCATCGTCCCCTCGGTGGATGGCGCCCACCTGCTGTCTCCAGAGCCCACAGGTCGGACATTACACTTCACCTTCTCTGTCTTACTGTCTGCAGGGTTCCCAGAAAATCACAAAAACCTGGAAAAATTTTGTTTTTCATGCCTGGAAAAGTTACACTGTTGTTTAGAAGTTTGGGGGCTGTAAGTTTCTTATGCTCACCAAGGCTGAATTTATTTGATCAAAAATACGGTAAAAAGAGAAATATTGAATATTAAATATATTTATGCAATTTAGAATAACTGTTTTCTATTTGAATATATTTTAAATTGTAAAATTGTTCCTGGGATGCAAAGTTGAACAGTCTTTCAGAAATCATTCTAATATGCTGATTTACAAGAAACAAATCTTGTTATTACCAATGTATAAAACAGTTAATATTTTTGAAACCGTGATCATTTTTTGGTCAGGATTCTTTGAACAAAACAACAAAACAAATCTAACTGACCTCAAACTTTTGAACAATAGTGTATGTTTTGATCTGAAATACTTGGTTTAGATTTCTCTTATAATTCTTGCTTTGTCAGTGTTTATTCTCTGTTCAATGAATCTGTCAAACCACAAATTGGTCTGAAATTGTGATTCATTAGTGAATCATCTAAATCTGAATTAGTTTTAAAAACATTTAAAGTATGAACTGGAAAGGTGGTGGACATTTCTATAGTGAGTATACATTTCTACAGTTATGATTCAAAACACACAGTAAGTCTTGTATAATAAAATACAAGTGACGTTTGATTGGTAAATGAATGTGTCGTTTCTCTTCCATGAATCAGTCAATCTGTGTTCACACTGGTCTGAATGACTCATTTTAGTTCATTTGAATCTCTGCACCTCCTTTTGAAACACCAAACCTTCTTTAAATGCTTAAAAAACATAAAAAAACAGCTTGTTACTATTTATCACATGCTGAAAATGAAAGGGCTGTCAGTGAATCTGTGTTTTTAAGGAGCTCGAGTTACAGCCTCTTCGATTGGGCAGTGTCACGGGCAGAGTTTGTACTGTGGCACAAAGTGGGTATTGTTGCAATGAACACTTGTGTAGCTGATTTTATGTAAACACACTTTGTCCTTGCCATTGATTTATTATCCCACAGTTGACGGATGAGGCCCCGCAGAGTGGATTACATGACAGCTAACTGTGTGTGTGTGTGTGTGGACTGAATAAAAGCTTATCGTATCGCTCTAGGCAGATAGTGTCTGAATTTTCTGCATATGTGGGCAGGTATGAGAGCCCAAGGTGCTGAGAGAGGTGTTGATCATTATCAGTTGTTTGTTAAAGACAGGTTTCTTGGCTGAGTTCTCTGTTGTGTTTAGATTCTAGATGGGTCTAGCTCTAATAAACATGTTACAGTCACTTAGAAAATAGAAAGGAGCTTGATGCTTTCTTGGCCCATTTCTCTGCTTTCGGGAGAGATCGTCTGATTGGTGGTGGTTCTGATTTCTCATACTGATAACGGGCAAATATTAGGAGACAGCGAGAGAGTTACAGTTAATGTTCACACATGGTCCAAAGGAGAGAATGCAGAACGTCTTCAGAAACCACAGAATAAACAAAGAGGGATTGTTATGAGACAAGAACCTGCAAACACTTCACCACCCAGCTCCTTTTCACTCTTAATCCTAACCACCAAATCCCCTGTTTCTCTTTTTCTCTCTTCCACTATTTATCCCGTCTTTTTATGTCTGTTAATTCAGTGACAGTGAGTTTAAATCGATCATTTCAGACAGACATATTAAATCAATAAGACACAAGAGGCACTGCATTTTTAGTAAGATGTGTTAGGCACCGCATGGTAAACCATTTTCATCTGATTATTTATGGACATTTTGCACATTTGTGTGAATGTTTTCTGTTCTTTGTTAGTAGTTGGGGTTTGTTCACCTCAATAATGATCTTTGAAACTCACTGCAGGTCAGCAGATGAGTTTATATTGAGAAGAGAAACACGTCCTCATGAATGCAGTCGAGAACCACCTGTTCACACACACATGGAGTGACATCCTTATATAACACTACCTGCGCAGTAACGCACACACCTATACACACAGAGAGAGGCAGAGGTGTGTGAAGCACGTACACACTTGCTGGCCTGTCAACCTGTAGGATGGGTGTCTTCAATGTAATTATAAATTCCCCTGAAGGACATTACTAAGATACTTAAAAGTCATAAGTGGTAAAACAAACAGTGCTCTCTCTCTCTCTGTGTGTGTGTGTGTGTGTGTTGTTCCTATTTGGACCAGTTCTTGTCTGACGACTCCTTTTATTCTTTTTTGTGCATCTTACAGTAAATACATTTCTGTGGCTTTGATTTATGTGTTAAAAAACTTTTTAAACTTTCTAACTTTCTATTCATCACAGAATCCTGAAAAAAAGGCATCACAGTTTCAGATGCCAAAAAATTATTAAGTAGCACAACAGTGATGAAAAATGTTTCTTGGGCAACAAATCGGCATTTGAGAATGATTTCTGCAGGATCATGTAACAGACTGAAGAATGGCTGCTGAAAATGTAACTTTGCCATGACAGGATTAGATTGCATTTTTAAATATATTAAAATAAAAAAAATAGTTTTTTTTTTTTTTTTATAATATTTCAAATAAACACAGCCTGGGTCAGCATAAGATACTTTTTTTTTTTTTCGTACCAATCCCAAACTTTTGAATGTTTTTTCTGGAAGGGTTAGAGTTAGCCTATATTAATTATAATAAGGTTTATATAAAAACAATAGAGGTCTATGGTATGCCGTGTGTGTGTGTGTGTGTGTGTGTGTGTGTTGCTGATTTCCCTCAGCTCTCCTATACCACTTTTGGCAGTCATGAACAGATGGCAGAAGTTATGTGCTGTAAGATGTCCAACAAACACACAGAGGGACATGTACACTTCTCCTTTACCACCCATGGAATGAACCTCTGCCTTGGCAATATTCCTAGCCCAACACATACACTACCATACACGCCTGCACACACACACACACACAAACAAACCGGTGCTTGATGTGTCACAAAAACAGCAGCATATCTATCAATCACCTTTGCATTATGGTTTGATTTAAGCTTTAGGCTGGTATATTAGTATTTTAAACTGTATATTAGAGTCAGGAACTGTGTGAGTCCTGTGTGACGGCTGCTTTCTCTCCTGGGATGCTTATGAATAGTTTATAAAGCATTAATAATGCATTAATGACAGTGTAACAGAAAGCATAAATAATGCATTTGTGACAGTGTAACAAAGCTTATAGCACACACTGATCAGTTTGTAACTGAAAGTGATCTGGTGCTGGCTTTGTTTAGCAGTGTGAGAGCATTATAAACTGTTATAATGTTACACGGGGACAGCGGGCCCTAAGAATTTTTGGGTTTTAGTTATAAGCAGTTTGTGGTAGACTAAACAGTCTGTCACGTGTTTAGGGGAATCTGTTTTTGTTTATAATTTTGAGTTATAAATGGTACTGCATAATACACTCAGACTGTGTGTATGTGTGTGTGATTTAGGATCTTTCTGAGCAGCTGTTGCCAGTTGCTTCTGGGTATCATTGGCTGGAAGGAAGCAAGGCAGAGGATTAGTACTTTTCCTGCCTAGTAATACCCCATCTCTCTCTCTCTCTCTCTCTCTCTCTGAAAATGCTATATTTCTATTCATACTAAAAGACAGAGGGGGTAAAGGGGGGAGGGCAGAGGCCATGGAGAGGTGACCTGTTTGTGTGTCTATTTTCTTGATCGCTTGTGTTTTCCTTAAGGGCAATTTGAGGTCGAGTTGAAAGAGTAACATCTCACTCAGCTCATTTCTTATTCTGTCATCATCACAATGACATTTTTTACAGCACACTTTTGACATACAACAATTTAGCAGTGATACATTGGCCAGGATGAGCCAATTTTGCGGTTATCTGCAGTGGTATTTAAACAGATTAGTCAATGGATAAGAAATATTCTCTCTATCTATAACTATCTCTATCTCTAAATCTATCTATATATCTATATCTATATATATATATATATATATAGATATATATATATATACTGTATATCAGTATTGGCCCTTGAAATGTATATGGGCGAATATTGTTAACTGCTCTATTGTCCTCTCTTGGTCTAAATTACACAACAAATAAATATTGGGTTACACTTTTTTATGTTGTCCTTGTTATGCTGTAATTATACAATTAAGTCCTGAGTACCATTAATTAACAATGTGTTTACTATAGGGTTACAGTTAGGATTAGGGGTTAGTTGAGGGTTTGTTGCTTGTATTTACACACAGTTATTTGTAAGCACATGTAACGTGTAACAAGGACAGTGTAAAATAAACTGTTACTAAATACTAAATTCAAATGATGTCACCAAATATTTAAAATATAACATATGTGACTACTAATGTGAATATTATTGGGAGTGTGTCCGAACTCCTAATAAATGTAACATTTAGGGTTAGGGTCAAGAACAAGCCATAATTTCGACTTCTATTGTTCCAAAGGTGTACAATATATTCTGTTAACCCCACTTGTAAGAAAACTACTTAAGAAATGATTTGGGGGAAGAAAAAAAAAAACAAGTTTGTGTGAAATATCCAAAGATTTGCTGATGCTACTTTAGATTAAGAGCATGTGTTCAAGCTACTGCAGTGTGTTTTGAGTGTGTGTTCTGTACAGTGTGCAGGGTTTGAAACTAGGCCAGTTCGTCTATGGAATGACAATTAAGATGGTCCATCACTGATTACAACCTGTGTGTTTGTCTCAGTGTGTGTGTGTGACTCTTTGAGGGTGTAGACATGTATGTGTTGAAAAGGACTTTTTTTAGCAGAGAGATAAAGCAAGTTATTTATTTAATATGTGCATGTGTGTGTTCTTAAAGGGTTTGGCTCAGACTCTGGATCTTCAGAACATCCAGCTTCCGTTACTAATTAGAGCACTGATGCGGGAGGGTTTGTGTGTGTGTCTGTGTGTAGACAAGGCTTTATTTTTGGATGCAGCAGCTTTCTTAAACTTTCCTCAGGGGCACTCCATCGCACACACACACGCCTCGGCAGGACAGAATAAAAGGGGTAACAAGCTGCAAACTCTTCTCCGCCCACCTCTCTTTCTGTCGTAATCCTAATCTCCGATTGTTTCTTTCTTTCTTTTTTTCTCCGGCCAGTCTCATTTAGAGGAGGATCAGGCTCAGAAAGTGAGGTTCCTACATCCGGCATCTACGTCACAGACAAAACAGTGGAAGGAGACTTTAGCGCCAGAAAGATGATCCTTTAAAGTAACCAGATTGTAGCATGCAAGAAGTGTGTGTGAATGTGTGTTGTGTTCAGTCTGAAGGTCAGATGACCGTAGGGGTTGTTGACTGAGTGTGTCACGCCAAACGACTGAAAGCAGCGGGAAACGGCAAAAGAGCATACTGGCACAGCTCAGGTCGGTGTGTGTGCAAGCGTGTGTGTGTGTGTGTGTTTGTGTGTGAGTAGATAAAGGTGCAGACTACTTACCTGCTATAAATCAGCTGCATGTATTGATTACAGTTTACAATAGATCACGTACCTGTGCTTTCAGTCATGACTGTGTGTGTGTGAGTGTGTGTGTGTGTATCCTCCCCCTCATTCTCTTGTTTTAACCTGTCGCTTTGTTGCAACACCCAAAACAAGTGGAACCAGAGACTGTTAGTCGTACAAACATTTATCACATGCTGTCAATTGTGTGTGTGTGTATGGGGTCCTGTTATTCCCTACGTTATGGGGACCAAATTTTAACATTTTGGGGAAATTTTTTGGTCCCCATCAGGAAGCAAGCTTATAAAAAATCTGAAATATCTGTGTGTGTGAGAGAGAGAGAGAGAGAGAGAGAGAGAGAGAGAGAGAGAGAGAGAGAGTGAGAGAGTGAGAATACAGCAACAGCATAGTAGCGACTCACTATACGTCTCTAAAAAAACAAACAAATAAATCAAGAGGCCACTTTAACCACCTCTCAACACACTGATGTGTTTGTAAATCTATATTTTTATTTTTATAAATCAATTTTTTTTATATTAAGCTTTCTTTATATTAATGACTTCTGAAGGATCATGTGACACTGACAACGGGAGTAATGACGCTAAAAATTCAGCTTTGCCATCCCAGAAATAAATTACATTTCATATATTAAAATAGAATACTGTTTTACTGTATTTTCGATCAAATAAATGCTACTTTAGTGAGCGTAAGAGACTTCTTTTTTTTTTTAAATCTAACAAATCCCAAACTTTTGACCCCAAAACTACTGCTAAAAATGCCCTTCTCACACAAACAAAGTGTTGACCTGTTTCATGTATCATAAAAGCAGTCAGATATATTCTAGTAACTGCTGTGTTGCCCATGGCAGCATGGTTTAAATCACATCTCACATATTACCCTGCACAACTCTGGCAAAACACACAAAAAACCTTTCATCTTTTCCGCTTGATCAAAGGAAAAACTGTCCTCAATACATGCAAAAGTGTGTGTGTATGTGTGTGTGTGGGCTGAATATAAATGGGTGCTTGAATGATTATGAAAATACATGAAGCTGAAAGACATGAAGCTGAGATAGTATGATTACAGGCTTTGGAGGAAGGTAGCGTTGTGGTCACGACATTTGTGCGTTTTATGTCAAGGGATCACATCCAGGATGGTTGACCACAGCTGTATTCTAGCGAACTCTTGCCTTTAGCCAATCAGTGTCGTCAAGATGTCATATCCTGTGGCTCCAGAGTAGTCACATGACATTTACGACTCAAAAACAGGAGATTTTCCAATCACAAACTTCGGGATCGTACTTTACCTGAGCAACTGCAACAATGGAAATGCTAATAGATTAACACAGTCTCATCCCAAGAAGTCATATAACTGACGTCTTGGGACGTCTTTTAAACCATACGTCAACGTCCGCCTTTTTAAGGGTACCCTTACATGACGATCCCGGGCCATCATACAACTGACGCTTTACCTTTAACGTCGGTTAGGATCCGATAACTTCATCTAACCGACGTTTAAGGGTACCCTAAAAAGGCGAACGTTGACGTATGGTCAAAAGACGTCCCAAGACGTCAGTTATATGACGTCTTGGGATGAGACTGCGCTGAATAGATACATACATTTCGGAGCACATAGTTTTACAGAGTAAACCAAGGTTGTAAGTCTTCATAAAAGCCAAAATCTCACCTGATCTGTGGCCCTCAAGAGGTTTCTATATCAGCCTTGTAAAACGTCAGCGCTCACACTGGCTCTATTCTCCACTCTCCTCATGGGAAATATGGGAACACACAGTAGCCATTTATGATATTTATTTATAACCCCTTCCCCCACGCACATTAGTGTCTTTCACTGGGTCCTGCATACGTTACACAAGCACACACACTCCCTATCTTTCACAGGATATAGAATAGACACACACACAGCGGCATTTTATTCTCTGAAGGAGCCGCCATCTGATGTCAGCGCTGTGGTACCTTCGGATTTGAGTGGTATGGGGGGGGGGGGAGAAATGAGTGAAAGACAAGATGAAAGGTAGAAAAGGGGGACAGAGAAGCAGACGTGACAGCGTTCAAGAGTGAAACACAAGAACTGATATGAGAAGTGATCAAAGAGATATTAACACTTCTCGTGGCCTTCAGACAGCCTCAGACAGAGTGGTGTTTTTGGACTGTGCACTTAACAGCATGTGTGTATGCTTTCACATGTAGCTGGGCGATCTATAATTCATATGCCCGATTCAGTATTCTACTCAAGCTTAGTCTTGTCTGCAAGCCGTCTGCCAATACACTCCTGACCTCATACACACACGCACAAGCGCAACATCTTTCAAATATATCAATCCTTTGTAAGTCTGTCACCGCTCTTCCCAGAGATGAATGTCACTTTGAAAAGAGAGAATAAGAGTGATAGAGATGCTACTGAAATAAATCCAGGAAACTGTGTTAGGTGGAATATTTATTCCAGCATTCCTGCATTTCTGTACCTCAGCGGGTACAAATGGTGCTTCTATTTCATTGCTTTAACCCCCTTTTTAATGTAAATGACTACAGTAATTGTTAATTAAGGGTTAGAGAACAACATGGGTTCGATTCCCTGGGAATTTATGTTGAATCACATCATATCTAACAAATCTCATGGGATCAAACGCCTGTATAATTAAATGATCTATTAGCTAGCTATAAACGTCAGCTTTCCCTTACTCGCTAAACAAGATTTATTTTAAACTGTCTCTACGCCCTTACAATAGAGGGTATGCACGTGACGTCATCGTCGGCCGGAGTGCCTGCAGTTTCTCACAGTGAGTGGCAAAAAGACTGAGCGGCTGTATTTGTTTTCAGCTTGAATGCCGCGAAAAACAAACACAACACATATAAAGTGGGAAAGAGCTTTGCGATTGACTGTACAACTAGATTTGACAAAAAAAATCAAAGGTATATTTTTACAGACTGCTATAGAAAGAGGAGCAAATGGATCGCTGCAATTCACAACTGGACTGGATTTGCAGTTATCATTTTGTGTCAATATGCTGAATTTAGGTGTAAAACCATACCTATATATTTGTATTGTTATATATATTAACAACTCATCAATTAAATATTTATCATTGCATATTATGCATTATTGGATGTTTTTTAATAAACACTGACCAAAAAAAACTATAAAGTTTTAGGGCTGGACGATATGATGATATATATAGGCTTTATATAACACTGATATAAGTGATCACCCAGATTTAGACCTACCTATTGTATTTATATAAAGCGTTCACAGGTAAATTTGCTTTATGTTTAGGTCTATATTGCTTTTATTTCCCCGGTGTCGAAATCAGGCAAACATAAATGTCAGGCAACACAATTCCTGGCTGCATGTCAATATCCACTGGATCTTGGATCACTGGATCTTTAGTAAGTTGTAAGGAACACTATATTGAGTCCAACATTTAGTTTAAATTGATAAAATTGTTCGTTTTAGTCGCATTTTCGCAGTTTCCCCTATTAAATCCAGTCACGAAGCAGATCTTTTGCCACTCAGTCAGGCTGAGGGGGGTTCTTCCAGTCACTTCAGAAAAATATCCACATTTCTGTCATGACAACTCTCATATCCATACAATATAGCATACATGAATTACCCGTAGCAGATCTATACAGGTGGAGCTGGGGAAGATGGAGGGTTTCTGAAAACGCACTGCAACTGCTATAGCAAATCCTGACCAAGTATTTTGAGCAGCAAGCTCATTGCATAGCAGGAACCAATCAGCTGCACCCTATAAAGAATGATGTGTTTGCAAGCGGATTGAGTTACGGACGTATCAGCCTGTGCCATCTAGAGTTTCGTGACATAACTCTGTATTTTGTTTTCGGTAATTTTGTTAACTGGAGATTGAATTCACTTCATTAACATCTCTCTCTCTTTTTTTCTCTCTTTTAGACTGGGTTTCGAGTGAGGTGGAACCGGAAATGTTTCTGGAAGACCACGTGGCAGGAGTCGGGGACACGGTGGATCTGTCCTGCACACCGCGTGACTTCCTGCTCCCCATCGTGTGGCAGAAAGATGGCAACATCGTGTCTCCTAGCAACCGTACGCGGGTGGGGCAAAAAGTGCTTCACATCATCAACGTCTCCTATGAAGACTCGGGGGTGTACTCTTGTAAACATCCCTACAGCAGCATGCTGCTAAGCAACTACACCGTCAGAGTCACCGGTCAGTCTCTCCTCCTCTCTCCTAATAATACTTAAGTTGAGGTCTTGTTGTTCCTTCCCTGCAATAGACTTTGGTGCACAAGCCCAGGCACGCAAAACATTAATTGGAAACTCACCAGTCAGACTTGTTCTCAACAGGCAAATAGGTCTTGAGACATACTCCCAGCACACGCCTACAGGCTGACTTGACGTTTATCAAGCACAATAACACTCACTCAAAGGCTGCATGTTGCTTCATTTTCCAAATTAACCGGGCTGTTTTAAACTGTGTATGGTTTTACCAGAATAAAAATGAGGGTGTTATAAAATAGGGCCTCTTTGGGGAAGTAAGGTGGAAAATAGTATATTTTGGTCACTACAAATGAAAATCAGTGTGAAAGGTTTTAGAATAGACACTAGAGTTGTTGTTTGTCTGTGCATCACACATGGCCCATTGAACTGGCCTGTCAGGTATTATTATCTTTTACAGGACAAACCTTAAAGAATGGCATTTGAACACTGCTGACTGCGCAATATACTGTATAATGTCTGTTATAAACATAGTTTGCATTATGCAATGCTACATTACATCAGCAAGTGCTTTTTAATATAGCCCTAGTGTTAGTTTATAGATTTTTAGTTCATCAATTCATTATTACATATTAATTATTAGTGTTATTCTGTTTTTTTTTAAATAAGAACATTTGTTTATTATAATTAAATTAACTATTGGGAAACAATAATTTAACGTTTGGCTGTCCAATCAAGGAGTGTTGAATTTGCACAGACATACTAAATACTGCAGGTTCATACTGTAACAAAAAAAAGATATCATTAAACTCGTAAGACAAACAGACATTACATGATTGAATGCAGATTCTTTTTTTGTGGGGCGCGTGCGTTTGTTTTTAATGTGTGTGTTTAAATGGTCGTGTGAAGTGATCTTTGGTTCTGTAAACTCGAGGACACAAGCTGAGCTGCTCATTGACGACTAATTAGAATGTAATTATCTGGAATCTCTTTATCATTTAGAGCAGATGGAAAAAGTAAGAGCACAGGGAGAGTTTTTTTTTTTTTACCAACATGTGTTTGGCGTTAGGCCAGGGCAAACCGGCTCTCCTTCTCGCGGCGTATGGGGAAAGACGGAGGAAAAAAAGTGAAACGGGCACACAACCTGCACCAATTATTGCATGCCGATAAAATGTCCACAAGACAGCAATATCCTGTTCTGCACACTTTAACACTAGACGCAGCTACCAGACACACTGACAGACAGCAACATGCAACACACAACATATCTTTACATCAATAGCTCATATAAAATTACCAAACCCGTAAGACATTTGTTCATCTTTGGAACCCAAATTTCATCTTTTCAATGAAATTTGAGGGCTTTATGCCCCTCCATTGACAGCCTATGCAACTACCAATTTCTAGAATCAAGAAAAGTAGTTAAGACATCATGAAAGTAGAAATGAGTTTGTTTGCACAAAAAAAAATATCATAATTTACCACTTTATTTACAAAATATGCAACAACGTCTGCTCTCGCGTCAAAAGGTTATTCATATTTTGTAAATAAAGTGGTATGCATGAAGCGTACACTATGTCTTAAGATGCTTCACACCAGGTTTGACATCAATGACATGGGTTTTGTCAGTGACATTGTGGCAATTTTTGACATTGGGGTGTATAATTCCTTTAAAAACATGAAACACCACAGAACAACAACACAAACCATCATAACTCAAAAATATATATATAACATAAACCCCCAGTTGCCAATGAAGACTGTGAAGCCACAAAAATGTGAAAATATAGCATAAATCTGATGGTTTGGTGAAACTAACATACACACACACGCATTCACACACACACAGAAAGCTTCAGTGTCCCAGTAACAGCATATCTTTAGTACTAAATAGGTCTAGTGTTGGATTTCACGCTCCTCTGGTATTTTAGGAGTGTGTGGTGTACAGTTTTACCTGTGTTAATGTTCACAGAGGAGGAGCTGAAGACAGAATAATCTCTTTTTCAGGGTCATAGTGGTTTTTTTCTCCCTCTGAATAAGTTCATTTAGAAGCAGGATACGGCAGTGTGTGTGTGTGTGTATTTCAGGACATGTGTGTAAAAATACAGCTGTTGTCAGAAATCTCACTGAATCTCGGCTAACATCTGCCATCCATTAACCGCTCTGTGTGTGTGAGTGTTTGAGGGTGTGTGTGTGTGTAGTAATTGGTTTTGATTTGTTATCAGTTTATTTTCCTCATTTTGCAGATCATATGAATAGGTTCATTGTTCATACAGAAAGGCCACTGTGCGGTGTAGTAATAAGATCGCTCTCTCCATCTCCCTGTCTCTCTTAGATTCTCTGTCCTCTGGTGATGATGAGGACTATGATGAAGAAGAGGACGATGCAGGTAATGGAAATGGTGTGTTTCACCCTCTTATTTCTCATTTCATATCTCTTTTTTGATTGAGATTTTACGAGGTGTCTGTTTTGTAATAAATGCATGTGATTGCTGTCTTTTTTAGCTGGGGATAGGTTGCATTTCATTTCATCATCAGCTACTTTCTCCCCGCTTGATACAAAAATGCAAATTCTCACGAGAGATGGAGAGAGAAGAAAGGAAAAGAAGAGAAATACTTTAAAGTCTAATCGCATCAACTGAAATGTGACTTAAAATCGCAGAAAAAGGCACAATATCTTCAACTCTGTGTATAACAACTAAAGAAAGAAACTAGAGGAAGATTTTTTTTCTCTGTTTTAGTGTTCATTTCAGTGACTTGGAAAAAATGAGCACATTAATATCTCTTCAGTGTTGTTATTCTCAACTAAAACTATTTAAAACATATTTTTTGGAAATTGAAATAAGGCTAAAATGAAATAAATATTAGATGGAAAACTTTAACTAAAACAAAAATGAGAAATGTTGCCTTGGGAACTTACTGAAAAAGTTAGTACAACTAAAACTAACTTAAAGTAATACAACTGACAAAAGCACAAATTTACTCAAACCTAAAGAAAATTTTAAATAAAAACTGAAAACATAGAAATTAAAGCTAATTAAAAAACATTATTGTGATATAATAGTCAAATAACACAGGATCTCTGAAACTCTACGTGACACACATACAAGATTGCTGTGAGTCTTTCTCTGAGGGAACAATTTGAGATGCTGGAGACATTCTCCATTTGATCTTTATTTAATATCATTGCTTTGTAGGAGAAACAACTGAGATTTGAAAGAGATCTCATTTTTTTTTAAAGTAAGAGAGAGGGAAGGGAAACACATCTGTCTGTTGTGGTGGGATCGGGGTTGGGGGAGGGTCTCAGCAGGGTTGAGGGGAGGGCATGAAACGGGGGATTAAGCGAAAAACCAAAACCCCTTTAGAGTTTAATGACCAGTAATCCAGCTCTAATTAAGAAAGAGAGAGAGAGATGAGGGCATACTGGAGCTGAGAGCTGTGAGGTCTGGGCTCCTCTGGAACATTTGAGAAGAGTTGAGGTCGTGTGACATCTGATGACATCATTCTGTAATATCTTAATGATGCAGTGCTGGTTACTGCTCTCAGTTTGGCTGACTGAAGCAAGCTGTGCGTAATATCAGCTGTGTGGAGTTGAACTGCACTTTGATGGCTTTTTTTTGGCTGTAGAATAAAAGAAATGAAAGAAAAAAGTTGGGTCACTGTAGATTCGCGGTTCCCACTTCAAAGCTCAAATTGTCTGTATTGAACTCTATAAAATTGCAAACCACACACACACGCACACACACAAACAAATACACATAGGGGCCAGGTCCACTGTTGGGTACAGACCCATGCTGAGTTCTCCTGACAGTTCCACTGACCATTTGGGAATGCAGCGCAAACTGGGCGAGAGAGAGAGAGAGAGAGTGTGTGTTGTATGTAGGCAACACTGTGTCAGTTATGCCAAAGGAAATGCCAGCCTGCCAATCACCCTTCACATTCGCAATCTGATAGTGTGTGCAAATAATGCACAAGATAATTATATTCAGTCTAGTTAATGGGTTTATTGTGTGTGTGCGCGCTCACAGATGTGTGTTTGTGAGCTTGCATGTATGTCTGGAGCGAAATGTGGCGTCTGTGGGTTTAATCGCCAAGTTCGCGGGTTGATCGGATCTGGAGTTAATTGTTTGAGGAGGGATGAAAGTATGTTTACTCAATCTCTTAAAGACACACACGCACTTACAATGTACAAGACTTTCCTGAAAATGAAAATAATGACTATTATTATTTTAGCTAAAGAATGTTACTGTAAGTATTTATGCTCTGATATTTTGGCATTAGCTACTAGGAAGCATAAACACAGACCCGACCACATGACAGTCAACATTATATACTAAATTTGTGGGAAGATTAAATGAAGGAAAATTGGTCCGTTATTATAATAGGCCGTTATTATAAGGAATCCACATTGTGCGATCATGGCTCAGTGAAGGATTTAACACTGGGAATCTTTTAGAGTTCTGTCTGCAAGAGCGCGCTCCTAACACTCACGTAAGAGTGTATGTCAGTGTGTTTGCTTTTCCAAACAAATTTTAATTCAGTCTGGGAATTAGGCAGCCAGTCTGACGCTGCCACAGAGCGCACAAGGAAAATCTTTCCATAAACATTCACCCACACGAAGACTCCCGGAGAGGGAACACCCTACCGCCTGAAAAATAGCACTGCATGTCAACATACACTTATACAGACCTCCATTTGCACCTATGGATTCATATAGTGTACTTTGAAATGTTTTGGGAAACTTTCATAACATAAGTTATAGGTTATATTTTCAGCAGAATGTGATTTGATTCTCATATTTATATTTCTGTCCAACAGAAGCTCCATACTGGACCCGTTCTGACCGGATGGAGAAGAAATTGTTGGCCGTTCCTGCCGCCAATACGGTGAAGTTTCGCTGTCCCGCTGCTGGCAACCCCATGCCCACTATCCATTGGCTGAAAAATGGCAAGGAATTCAAAGGAGAGCAGAGAATGGGCGGGATTAAAGTAAGGCAATAAGAATATAGATTGAGAATGTGTCCGTGTGTATGTGCAAATATGTGATTGTGTGTTTAGGACTAGAGATAATAAGAGTCAGCAATTAGTAATAATTTACGCAGATCCCCAACATCTGCTTCTTCAAGAGCTCTCTCTCTCTCTCTGGAGTTTATTTGCTTGTTGCCTCTAGAGGATACGTCCACCTGTTGCTGTTCCTCTGTGAAAGAGCAGAGGAACACAAAGTCCTGTGTGGTCTTCTTATTTATGTGTCGAAACGTTTGTGTGCGGGTGTTGTTTGTGACGTGTATTGGAGAGCGTCCACTGATTCTTTCGATTATTTTTATTTTTTATTACCAATCTTTCATCTCTCAGGGATGTTGCTCCTTAGCACTCAATAACCCCAAATTGAGACTTTTACTAAACACATTTAAATCATTTTCTCTTATCTAAAATCACACATGTCCTATGAAGTTTCAGATGAGATCTCAAACTCTGGTAGTTTTTAGCAGATTTGCAAAGATATGAAAGTCTCAATATGAAGTATTTCTCAAGTTCTTCTAATCCTATCCACATTTGTTTATAGCAGAATACTACAACTGTGTGTCAAAAATTGCCTCATTTGTTTCTAAATTAATTGTATTTTAGGAGAAAACCCTGAAACTAAGTCAACAACTGGGACCTTCTGAGTGACTTTTGCACACACACACATTCACACAATTAGATTCTTTAACACAGCCTTGCCTTGCATTGACCTGTACGCATAGAATATAACCAGTGTCTCCTAAGAGAGACATTTAGAAACAAAACATTGACCTCTTCAACTCTCCATAGCCATAGAGTGACCATCTCACCCTTACAAAAACACACACGTATACACACACCAGGGGTCCGCACTGACCCAGGGTCATCCTTTATACTAGACCTGCCCTCCGCATCAGCACAGTCGCTGTTGGCATAGAGATCTCTGACAGCATCATAATAGCTTTATTTAACACACACATACACAGGTGCTTGACAGCTCACACTAAGTGTCTTCTGTCTCTATTAAGACCAAGGTTAAAAGTCACGGCTCTTATATCTATATATATGTGTGTATAAGTATTTGTGCTTCCCTTGTGTGTGTGTGTGTGTGTGTGTGGATATGACAGGCCTAGTAGCTTGATAACGCACTCAACGATGTGTTAAAACGCAAAGCGTCATGCTAAATTAAACATGAGGAGTTCTCTTTCGGAGATCAGCATCTTAAAGCTCTTTTCTTCATGGTAAGGGGAACAATAATGGTGACTATTGGCGCTGGACCTGGTTGCAACGTTAATTGCTGACTAAATGCGTTAAGATTGCAGAATGAGTTTTAAATTCTAGAAAATGAGTCGCATGCCGAACTCTCGCTGTTTGAAACGATCCATGGCTTTGTTTAGACCGTTGACTTTCCCACAGCTTTCCCCTTCAAAGAGCCACACACACATTAACACAAACACACACTTACAAACAGACACACACACACACCTCAGACATTTTCTGCCCCTGACTGGCAGGGTTCTAAGGTCAGAGGTCACCTCTCTATTGAGTCATCAGAAGGGGGAGGTTCTGAGAGGGTGTTGCCGTGGCGATTTAGAGATCTTGATTGACAGGGGGAGGCGTGGCTTTTGTCATGCTCACATATGGTAGCCGAAGTCGCATTGTTAGAATGCTAATCTGTGGCACTGTGGGTTAGTCACACCTCACGAACACATACACACTGATGTTTTGTGAAAACGCTGCATTTGAGAGCGTGTGCAGCTCGCAACATATTCAACAGCTCAATTGACGAGCGAGTGGAGAAAGACTGTTACGTCCTCCGAGAGATGACTCAATTTCAGTCGCAGTTCTCTGTGGGACCACCATGCTTGGAGCATCAGTAATGAAATGCTGAATCTCTAATCCACCGACAAATGTCTCTTTTGTCTGTAAGCAACATCAATATGTATGTCTTTATTAAGTGATTGGGTGCAATTAGTTTCTCATTAATGTGTAAAAATATGTTTAAAAGTCAAGTGTGTAATTTAGAGATGTTCTATCCCACTTGAATGTTCAGATAAGTTGTGGGTATATCCCTGCTGAAAAATCCAGCATAAAGTATGTTTTGCATGCTGTTCTGCTGGTTGATGGTTTGCTGGTCCCAGTGTTGGGAACGTTCACTTTCTACATGAACTAGTTCAAAGTTCAGTGCACACATTTTAAAATGAACTAGTTGAGTTCATAGTTCATACTTCAAAAAATGAACTAGTTCATTTATAGTTCTTTTTTTCCATATGTTGCGAGTTCTTTTTATTATTATTATTGCCACAGCCCATATACAACCACAGACAACAATGTAAGATTTTTCCCATCCTCACCGACCTCGTCATAAAATCCGTTTAAATGATCATACGAAGCCTCTTCGCGCGCTGCTTTGTCGACGACGGCGGCGGCGGCACGACACTGCTGGCTGGTGTTGCCAGATTGGGTGTTTTTTTCGCTACAAATTAAGGTCTGTTTACATGTGTTTTACCCTATTGTACGAAGTTAAACTGAGAAGAACGTGCGTTCACAGACACCGGAATGAACACATTCACAGTAACGTTCATCAGGCAATATACACTCTTAGAAGAAATGGTTCTATTTAGAACCAGAAATGGTTCCATCCCCCGCTTCATATATGGAACTCCAAAATGGTTCTATATAGAACCATTTTTTTGGTAAAAGGTTCTATTGACCAAGTATGGAACTATATAGAACCCAGAGGAACCCTTTTTTTAAGAGTGTATAGAACCTTTTAGGGGTTCCAAATACGTAGCGCTGATAGAACCTTTTAAGGTTCTATATAGAACCTTTTCTTTTAAGAGTGTAGTATGTTCAGTTCACGTTCGCCCAAAATATGAACGCGTTCATTGAACACACGTCCAGGTGACAACACTGACTGGTCCCCTGCATGGGAAGCGGGGAAGTCTTAATGGTCCCAATCTAAAGAGTGAATTTAATACCGAAGCAGTGTAGCAGTTAGTGTAATAAAAAAGAGAAGATACATAGAAAAATAGATTCACTCCACAAGTGATGGTTGACCATTAGAGATGACACCTGTGGCAGAATCACTGAAGATAAGAGAAACAATAAGAACAGGGAAAAGAAGAAAAGACAAGCAGATAGCACAACTTCAACAGACTCAAAGCCACACAGCCTTGGTTAAATCAACTGCATAAAAAAATCACTGATCTCACCAGGAGATGATTGAACAACTCCAAAAACATCATGAACATGTTCATTTATTATAAACTACAGTATTTTTGCTTTATTTCTTTGGCATGGTACATGTATGCAAGTTGTTGAAGTCTGTTTGAAGTCACCATTATGATGACAGTGTTCTTTTTAGTTGGGTCCTTGAGTTTGGTTGAATTAATAATCTTTCAGCAGTTGATGAGCACCATTGCCTACTACAAGATTTCATGCTCCTTACTGCAATGACACCTTTTAATATACAATTTTTGAAATCAGTGACCTACAGCTCCGTTTTGCTTGAGAACAGCATGACTATTCTAGTCCACCAGCTAAACCAGTCATGACCAGCATGGAATTCATGCTGGTTTATGCTGGATTTTTCAGCAGGGTAAGATTAGGTTTAGGAGTAGGGATAGGGTTAGCACTATACTTTCAAGGAGAAGAATGTTGTTCCAGGATCAACAAAATATGTTGATCCAGGAACATGTCGTACTTGGAAAAATCACAGTGACCCCCGGCCGTCTGTACAATATCGATGGCTTCTTTTAATGATGAAACATGTTTCCAGTAAGACCACTGTACCACTTTCCATTGAGAGAGAGAGAGAGAAACAGTTTTGTCGTTTTAATGACTAGCCCCGGGGTCAGTTGTTTTTGCTTCCTGTCTCTGTGGGTCAAATTAAACAGAACCGCTGTCGGAACGAGCCCGCACCGTTTTGACACAGCCATAAATCCTGGGCATAGACACAAACACACACATACTCAAGAGAGACCTGAGCTTCTTGCCACCTCATGAGTCCCTTTACTTCCAATTTTCTCTGTAGTTCTGTCACAACTCACTAAATGAATATCCACCGACCGCACTAGTTTTAACTCCTAACCCCAGTCTGACATCAGAGTTAAAGAGGCTTAATATGTTAACAGCGTAATGCCGGGAAGAATTTGAGCAGTGCTTTTCAACTGATTATCGGACCTTGGCTTGGGTCATTCTCGTGCTGTTTTTCTGTGTCTGAATCAGTAGGGTATACTGCACGACATCACAACACTTTTCAGCTCTTATCTTTTGATGAAGGATGGGATAAATGCACTAACCCTCTCCTCCCGTTCCCTCCGGATAAAGAGCTCGGGTAGATTGAGGAACAGCTGGGAATTCCTCACAGCATTTCTTTTCAGCAGACACATTGAGATAAATGTCTTACACACCTATCAAAATGTCAATGTCAAGTAAGATAGAGTCCTGAATTAAAACTCTGGCCCTCTCATACTCTCACTGGACATGAGTAGCTGACATTAAATACTTTTTAGTAGTTAACCAGGATTTCAGTCCAACGGGGCTCAGCTTCCAACCTGAGCACGAGCTGATGTAGCTCAAAGGAAAATTTCTTGCCTTTAGTCCAAGGTTTAATTCTTGGTAAACCAACCATTTAATAAAAAATAAATAAAAGAACATAATACAATTAGGGCTGTGCAAAAATGAATTGCGATTAATCGCATACAAAAGAAAAGTCTGTGTTTACATAATATATTTGTGTGTGCTGTATATAATTATTTTGTATATATAAATACCTATGCATGCATGTATATATTTAAGAATTATTTGCGCTTAAATTCTGTATATATATATATATATATATATAAATAGAAATACATAATCTATATTATATAAATATAAATATTTTATATATGAATAACACATTTTCTCAAATATATACATGCATGTGTGTGTATTTATATATACAAAATAATTATGTACAGCACACACAAATACATTATGTAAACACAGACTTTTATTTTGGATGCGATTAATCGCAATTAATTTTTGCACAGCCCTAAATACAATACAATCACTTATTTTAAGGGTTAATTTATAGTTAATTTCAGATTATTTTAGGGGGCTAACGCCCTTCTAAATACTGTTTAGCAACTATTGACAGCATTTTCCTTGTTCTTTTATTTTTATGTAGTAGTAGTTTTTATGACTTTTTAATGGTTGAGACTAAATTAAATATTTTAAAAATGCAGGATAGTTTCAAATGAATCAGTGTTCATTTTTTTTTACAGGACACTCAATATACTATTTTCCCTTATACATTTATTAGTTTGAACCTAAAATCTTGCTTTAAATAGGTCAATGGACACATATGCCAACAACTCCCATACATACATACACTCACACACATTTCTCATACCGTGCAGTGTGTCAATTTAGCAAAAGGCTCACTGTGTGAGAGTGAGGCAGCGAGAACGAGGCGAGAGGAGGTGAGGATCCAGAAGACACGGGGGAGGAGGAGTGCAGGGGGTACAGGCGCCCTTGCCAACTTTCTTAGGCATGTGTGTTTGTCTATGTGCGTGTTGCCCTCTCAGTTGGTGTTACCATGCAACTGTTCAAAAACACAGCCCATAATATTTACACAGTTACATTTTTTTCCACTCAGACCTTCAAAGTACCAGAAAAGGAATGAGAAAGAGACAGTGCGCAAGAGAAGAGAGAGAGAGCCATATGCAATTAGAGTGTGCTCTATGAATGAATGAATGAATGTGTGTATATGTGTGTGTGTGTGTATGAGGTGAAGGACCCATCTATCTATCTATCTATCTATCTATCTATCTATCTATCTATCTATCTATCTATCTATCTATCTATCTATCTATCTATCTATCTATCTATCTATCTATCTATCTATCTATCTATCTATCTATCTATCTATCTATCTATCTATCTATCTATCTATCTATCTATCTATCTGAGAGGCTTAATATGTTAATATGTTTCTAGTTAAAATTAATTTCCATTCATTTTAATTCTACTTCCTTACATTTAATTCTGCATTCTGTTTGGTTCTTGAATTCTAATTCAATTCAGATTTACCAGCACAGTGGATCTTACTCATAACGTTATACAGACACAGATCATTTAGCACCTGCTTTTCTAAAGCAGAAAAACCAGAGGAAGGATTCAAGCGGACCTCTTATGTAACGTCCCACTTTATTATTAAAACTCTCTCTCTCTGTGTCTGTGTCATCCTCTCTCTCTCTCTCTCTCTCTAGTTGAGGCATCAGCAATGGAGTTTGGTCATGGAGAGCGCCGTTCCATCTGACCGAGGGAACTACACGTGTGTGGTGCAGAACAAATACGGGACAATCAAACACACTTACCAACTGGACGTGCTGGGTAGGAACACGCAACGCACACATTCAACCTTTTAACTTAAACTTAACTTCATCTCTGACTGCCCTCATCTCTTGTCCAATCAGAGCGCTCTCCTCACCGGCCCATCCTACAGGCGGGACTCCCGGCCAATCAGACAGTGGTGGTTGGCAGCGACGTGGAGTTTCACTGTAAGGTGTACAGTGATGCTCAGCCACACATCCAGTGGCTCAAACACATCGAGGTGAACGGAAGCCAGTATGGGCCCAATGGCACCCCCTACGTCAACGTCCTTAAGGTACAGTCATCTACTCTGGCACATCAGAAGAATTCATGAATGAACCACTTTTAACTGAAGGATTCAACTTTGTTTTTTTACGTCAAATGCTTTCATTATCAATAACTCTCTTTTTCAAAAACCTTTGTAGTTTCTCTTTTCCCAGAGGACAAAACGATGTAATTACGAAAACATTGTTAGCTTGTTAGAATAGAACATTGTTGAAGGCACAAATGTGTCCAAGTGCAGCCTTAAATGAAGCCACATATTAAGTCTCACGTGAGCTTTGAGTGACTCTTAGAGCACCTCCCTCCAACTCCTAATCCCACCCATGTTAGCATCTCACTATAGGCTGTGCAACTGGAGAATTAGGGGGCTCTCGCTCTCTTTTTCCTCTCAGAGGAGTGAGAGAGGAGGCAGACATCTGTTTTGGGCTAAGCTAACCGCCGCGGTGGCGTCGCGCAGGGAGACAGTCATTAGCTGTGCTGCCCCACTCTCTCTTCAGAGAAGGAGGGAGAGAACGAGGGAAGAGGCTCCCGAAAAAGCCATGGAAAAAATGAGTGCGGGAAGCGAGGGAAGGGCCGAGTCAGCAGGCAGAGGAGGGGAGTGCGTCGGCTGGCCAGACCGCCACGCTATTTTAGACTCCCACATAATTGAAACAGTATTTTACTGGGAGCCGCGCGGCGGCTTTTCCCTTCCCCGCAGTCTCATCTGCGCACCCTCTAAAGCCTTCCCCAGCCCTCCCAGACTGAGAGTGCTGAGCGACAGATCATGTGTGGCACAACGCCTACGATCAAGGGAAAGAACGGAAACAGAGAATAAAGCAAATGAAGCATCTGAAAGAAATACAGAAACAGATATGTGTGGACTAGGGGGCTAAAAACAATATTTGAGCGTTTAATTATAACATACAGAGACGTCAGTTGCCTAGCAGTTAGCGTGTTGAGCGGTGGCGCCAACGCAGGTAAAACGAGTTTGAATCCAGCCAGCAACATTTCCTGAGCTTGTTTTAAATAAAGAGCCATACAAATTTGGTGACTGCATCTTCATGGGCTGCATTTTTCAAGAGGTGATGGTATTTGTAGTGTATTTACATGCACGGTCTGTGTTGGTTTAGTTCCTGATTACAAGGAATTACACAAAAACAGTGCAACATCTCGTTGAAAAGGGATGTTTTGTGCTGAAAAGAATGACAATGAGTTCTTTTATATACTCATGATCATAAATTCTTGAGAATTTAATTCAGTTTGCAATTCCCAAACAAAGCTTAATTGAAATTTGAATTTAACTTCAAGTCAAAGAAATACAATATAATTCAAAATGATTTTTAACAAAAAAAACAAAAAAAAGATTTCCTGCAGTTCATGTTCATGTTCATGAACCAGTCAATGGAACCCATCCATGGCAAACAAGGTGGAAAACGTGGTTTAGATTATTAAAATGTAGAGAAAAAGGGTTATTATAAATACTGTTCACTGAAAGGTTCTTCTATACCACTGCTGTCGAAAAAAAACAAACTTTTAGAAGCTTTATTTTTTGACAGTTTAAACTGGATTATGGGCGTTTAGTGAATAAGATGCAAGTTTTTGTATTGAAATAACAATTGACTGTTTTGTGTATTTGAAAGTGTATCAGCATCTTAAAGAAGTATGTTGCTTGAGTATGTTAAATGAATTAAGTGTGTGTTCATGTATGCCTCTGACTAAGTATGTGTGTCTCTGTGCAGAGTTTTGTCAGTAAGGTAAAAGAGGCCCACGATACGCTGACTCTGTATAATGTGTCAGAAAAAGATGCAGGCCAGTACTGGTGCAGAGCCAACAACTTTTTAGGCATTTCAGAGAATACGTTCTGGCTCACAGTGTCCCAGCCAGGTAAATCTCTCTCCAAACATCCGTTGTCAGTCAAGACCTTGGTGGCGTAGAGTCAAACTCTCTCTATTTCGCACTGCTCTTCTCGCCCCTTTCTCACACAATAAATAAGGTGACCTGGTTCAAGGACTTGTTATGTAAGGCGAGTGTATGTCTGCTTCATTTAAATGTTCGCTGCTTCTTCTTCCTCCCCAATCAATACAACAAGGGCACGTTGAATAAGAGCCGAGACTGTGCCGCATCACATTCTTATTGATTTCCTCATACCCTGCCTACACACCGCTCTCTTGACACACTTCTAAATAAATAGGTGTCCGTTTTATCTAGTGAGAAGTTAAATTCCCGGCTCTTTTTACAGTGTTTCCTTTGCACAAACACGTTTTGGATGAGAACTAACGTGACCCGCTGCTGCTGATGGGGCGTTACGTTTTCCGCCAGGGTTTGGGTTTTTACTTTGCTTCTAGGTCATCTCATAAGTGGGTATACTGGTGATGGGTTAACTGATCTTCTATCGTTCAGATCTTCCTCCCGGTGCTGGGTGATGGTCCTTTCTCACGGGTTGTGCTCTAAGCATCTGTCTTTCTCTCTCTCCGTCTCTCCCTGCTTTTCCAGACTGCGGGAATAAATACTACGGATAAAGAGCTGGAGATTCTCTACCTGACCAATGTGTCTTTTGAGGATGCGGGGCAATACACTTGTCTGGCAGGGAACTCGATTGGCTATAACCATCACTCTGCTTGGCTTACAGTGTTACCAGGTATACTAGTCTCACTCTCTGGGGTTTCTTTTCACTCCTTTCTTTCCCAAGTCTCCATACTTCCCATTTTCCATGTTGTCCTTGCATGTTTTATTCATAGTTTTGCAGTTTTCAGTGATATTCTCTATGGACCTTAATCCCGGCAGCCTCGCTTTTAATAATGTCAATTAAATATGCCAACTAGACTAAAGTACTTAGTAGAACAACCTGGTGGTTTGTAATTGTTTTTAGATTCAAACATGACAAAATGACGGATGATGGGTTTTGCTCATGGACTGTTTCCACTCGATAACACATGCGCTCATGATGGAAGTGTTTGTCGTGTTTACTGGAGTATTTACTGATGGCACACAGTTCTTGTATCTGGGAGGCCCGATTCATTAATTCTCATCCTGTTATCCAGTTCGCCGTTCTGCTGCTGTAATTAAAATCGCTCGTCTCGTGCAGAGCCACTGAACTCTATCTGTGGGGCTCATCATACAAGTGCCAAATAAGCCTCCCGGAGAGAGGGGCATTATGGGATGTTAGTACCTGCATGGGGGCGCGCTAGCATGTTAATTGGTTTGTAAGGTTGCTGTAAATTAACTGCAGGCCTTCTGCTTCATAACTTCAAACAAACAAACAAACTAATGATTGACTTAAGATGATATCTAATCTAACCATTAGTTGGGCTTGTTTCTTAAATTACTGTTAGTTTTTCAATTTAAGTCTTGAGACTGTAGTTAGTGGCCAATTTATTTTTAGTTTCGTGTTCTATTCGAATGATAAACTGCATTTTGCGGTTATGTGTATTAGAAATAAACAGGGTCCAAAATGAACACAGGTCGAGGTGGATGAATGTGTAAATATTTCTATTTAGCCTTCAGCTGTTCACATTATGATTTTGTTCCTCTGATTTTATACTCCACATATGTGTCACCAAATTTAGCTCTAGAAAAAAAAGGCATCCTAGATAAACCTCAAAACCCCTAGATAAATTTCAGCTCATAAAATGTCAATTATTTTCTTATCAAAGCAAAACTCTACAAGTTTGCTTTTGCTTGCGTTTGGCATGGGATAAGTGCTCATTTTGGACCCTAATGAAAGACAACACTAATAGAAAAGAGGGCCATTTTAATATAGTTGCTGATAATTTACTCACCCCCATGTCATTCAAGATGTCCATGTCTTTCTTTCTTCATTCGAAAAAAAAAAACATTTTTGATGAAAACGTTCCATGATTTTTCTCCATACAATGCACTTTACTGGTAACCAAACGGTTCAAGGACCAAAAGATAGTTTCAGTGCAAACTGTTCGAAGGGCTTTAAACGATTCCAGACGATGAATAAGGGTCTTATCAAGCGAAACGATCGCTCATTTAAAAAAAAAAATAACAAAGTTTAAGTTTTATAAGCTCAAATTTTCGCCTTGCTCTGTTCTGTGATTCGAACAGTCAATTCGTCAATTCAAATTGAAGTACATTATATATAGTGAATGAATATGCGTCCATTTGTACTACATCCATCACAATGTCATTGTCATGTGATCTAGCTTCACTGCCATTCACTTAACCTATAAGACAACACATTGATACATTTGTCTCATAATGTCATCACACACGTCTAAACTGTGCTCTTGTGCTCTGTGTCAGCGGTGGAGATGGAGAGAGAGGATGACTACGCGGACATTCTCATCTACGTGACGGGCTGCGTGCTCTTCATCCTCACCATGGTCATCATTATCCTCTGCCGTATGCGGATGAACACGCAGAAGACGCTCCCGACGCCGCCCGTTCAAAAACTGTCCAAATTCCCCCTCAAGAGACAGGTAACAGAAAGTAGATACAAGATTTGATCAGCCCATTTATCTTCCTTTCTCTGTATCTCCTCTCTGAATCGAATCCCAGAATGCATTTTTTGTAGTGTGTAGTGTTTGCGTGATTTGTGTGTATGAAGACGTACTATGGATGTCATATATGCAATGTGGCAGTCGGAAAATATTCACGCTCTCCCGGTGACTGCCAGTGTTTAGGTCATGTTTCTCTCCTGGTGAAACTCGCTCTCTCTCTCAGTTGTTTTAAACAGTTTAAATTGCAGCAGCAGCAGGAGCAGGAGCAGCTGTCTCTCTAATCTCTGTCACTCTCTCGATCTCTTCTTCTTTTCCCCTCAAGTTATTTCCAGCAATCAAAGCCTGACAATGTCACGCTGGAATCAAGCTACATAATCATGTCGCAGTGTTTTTTTCTTCTTTTTCTTCACATAGTGTCTGTGTAGGTGTGTTTTGAGCTAGTTCTGATTTTCGAAAATATTGAGATATCATTGTCAGACAGTTTGATCTTCCTGCTGCTGACATACTTTCTCAGTGTTTCATGAAAGTCTACATAGATTTGCATTTCCTAAAGGAAATCGCAGTGCTTGCAAGGAACTGTCCTCCAGTTACAAGTTGTTCCCATGACATTCAAGTCAGTTATGGATGGCTAAAGAGATGCAGAACGATGCAAGAAAGAAGACCAATCACAATTCGACAACTTTATCTCTCTGTATCAACTGTGCATCGAAAGAAAGAGGGCCAGATTGAGGTTGTTGCACCCTTTCAGCGAAAGGGAAACGGCAGCAGGGAAATGTTGCTTCACACACACTTCTGTGGTCCATTACATGGAGATCTGACAGCTACAAATCTTTCTCTCTCTGAGGAACAGACACCATGTTTCTGTCTGCAGCACAACACTTGAGTTGATGATCTTCTTAAATTAGACATCTTGATTCTTCTCTCTCTCTTTCTCGCTCTTACACTCGCTGTCTTCTTCTCTTTCAGAGACAATAACATGCTGTTTTTATTCTTTACCCAAGCAGGTGTCCTTGGAGTCGAACTCTTCCATGAATTCCAACACCCCATTGGTCCGGATCGCCCGCCTGTCATCCAGCGATGGGCCGATGCTGCCCAATGTTTCTGAGCTTGAACTGCCCTCTGATCCCAAGTGGGAATTTCCACGTACAAAGTAAGTTAAAGATGAACATCAAATGACCACAATAATTCTAAAGCAAATAGTAGGTTCCTTGCTCACTGTGAATGATTTTGTAGCAGACTGACGCTGGGAAAACCGTTGGGAGAGGGCTGCTTTGGACAGGTTGTGATGGCTGAAGCCATTGGGATTGACAAGGAGAAACCCAACAAACCTCTCACTGTTGCTGTCAAGATGCTCAAAGGTTAGCGTGTTCAGATGCTGTCAATCATTACTTTACGTTTATGTATTTTTAATTTCATCAAATCTCATTACTCTGACATTGTGGATGTGTTTAACTGCCATTATTAATAATAAATGCGCTACCATTCAAAAGTTTGGGGTCAGTAAGATTTTGCCGAAACGAATAGTTTTGTTCAGCAAGGATGCATTAAATTGATCAAAGGTGACAGTAAAGACGTTTACAATATTTGTGAATATATTATAAATGCTGTATTTGAAATTTCTGTTCATCAAAGAATCCTGAAAAAATGCATCACACTTTCTACAAAAATATTAAGTAGCACATCTGTTTTCAACATATATAATAATAAGAATTGTTTCTTGAGCAGCAAATCTGCATATTGAAATGATTTCTGAAGGTTCATGTGGCACTGAAGACTGGAGTAATGATGCAGAAAATTCACAGTAATAGATTAATTTATTAAATTGTAATAATATTTCACAATATTGCTTTTTGTAACTGTTTTCCTAGATGATGGCACGGATAAGGACCTGTCGGACCTTGTGTCTGAAATGGAGATGATGAAGATGATTGGAAAACACAAGAACATCATCAACTTGCTGGGAGCGTGCACACAAGATGGTCAGCGCACGCACACACATAAGATCGCAGCTTTGATGTTGGGCTTTGATTTTCTCTGACTGAATTGTTTCTGACTGTGTTCATACAGGTCCTCTGTATGTACTGGTGGAATATGCCTCTAAAGGGAATCTTAGGGAATATCTGCGGGCAAGAAGGCCTCCTGGGATGGACTACTCATTTGACACCTGTAAGATCCCGAACGAAACTCTGACATTTAAAGACCTGGTGTCCTGCGCCTATCAGGTCGCCAGGGGTATGGAGTACCTGGCCTCAAAGAAGGTAACACTTCTACTTATCTTAGTTTGTAAACTTATTTGAATAGAAATAATTTAAGGGGCTTGTGATGTTTATAAAGGGTATAAATGCTGCCAGATATTATTTTCCTAGTGTGTATTTATCAGACTTGTCTATAAAGGATGGCCCTCTTTCTGTTTGTGTTGCCAGTGTATCCATAGGGACCTCGCAGCCCGGAATGTTCTAGTTACCGAGGACAACGTGATGAAGATTGCAGACTTCGGTCTGGCTAGAGACGTGCACAACATTGACTACTACAAGAAGACCACCAACGTAAGCCGACAACTGATTATCAGTCTCAGAATGCTTGAAGGATAGGGCTCTTGGGTGGCATTGGACTGAAGCACTGAGATGTGGTTGCACACTGTATTTAGAAATGCCAAGCCTGTAGAAGTCGAATGAGTGTGTGCAAGTTCAGGAACTTTTGAAGGGGCATTTATGAGCAGCTTGTTATAAATGTTGAATGAGGTCTGGAGTTGGTACTAAGAATGTGTAGGTATTGGCGCGAACTGGACGGTATTGAACACATTGCGGTTTACCTGGCCCATTATGCATTGTAAAATGCAGTATTGGGGTGTAACTAACTAAAAATTTTCAGTAGCATATATGGTTAAAACACTTGAGCTGCATCCGAAATTGCATGCTGTATATAGTACGTTCTATATCTGCATCTAAATTACATCTACATCCAAATTCATTTATAGTTGCTTGTAGCAAGATCAAACAAGGTTCCTTTTGGGTGTTGGATGGAACGTGTTGTTTTTAGATGTGGGATGGGTTTGGTGGGTATATGGAAATTCGTTGGGACAGTTGGAGATTAGAGCACATTGGGGAGAGGGAAGATGTTGATGTGAACCACTGAAGTGTATTTATATTAGATAGGACAGTAGGAGATTAAGCTTATAGGCCTGTTGATGTTCGATGGGCGTCTGTATGTCTTGCTGGGTCAGCACCGCTGTTGTTCTGACTGATCTGTGTCTTTCAGGGTCGTCTCCCCGTCAAATGGATGGCACCAGAAGCACTGTTCGACCGTGTCTACACGCACCAGAGTGATGTGTGAGTTTACATTGCCATTTTTTTCCCTCTCCATCACTTCATGCCATCTGTTCATAAAGTTTATCAAGCGGTAAAGGAATGCAAGTGAACACCATAACCCTACATAAACAGCATCAAACCCATCCGAGAGAGTGTGCCAGTGTTTTTTGCACCGGAATTCACGGTTATTACAGTACATGTTATTACATAGTCCAATTCAAAAGGAGTTCTTTTAATGAATCCATCAAAAAGATTGACTAACTCGCAAGTAATCAGTTGGAAGCAGATAATGATTGTAATGATCCATTTAATCACTTAATTCATCAGAGAGGTTACGCAATTAATAACTTACTGACTAAGGGTCCTTTTACACAACACCGTTTTCAACTAAAAACTGAAAACAATTATTCTTTTTTGTAGGGCTGGGTTATAAATATCGATTTCTCGATATTAATCGATTCTCATTTTTACGAACCGATGTCGATTCTTAAATCTCAAGAATCGATTCGTCATCCTGTTTCATTTGAATGAATGGAACGTTGTATAGCGGCTGCGCGCATCCAAAAAATCGCAATAATCTTTGTCCTTTGTTAGTGCCTTCATATTAGGCTAATGAAGCCTAGTAGGCTACAACTAGTCTCCCATAGTATACAGCATTAGTTAAGAGATTTCATTTCCTTGAGAAAATTTGCCATTTATTGTAACTGATTTCCAAAATAATCAATATTGAATCGAATCGGAATCGAATCGAATTGTGAAATTTGTGTCAAAACCCAGCCCTAGCATTTTGCGTGTTCATTTATCCGACAACAGCGTTTTTGGGGGCCTTAAAAATCCTAACTTTTGAAAATGGGTTTCAAAGTGCACATTTTTGAAAAAGATCACTGTGTAAACTACAAAAAGGTAAATTTGTGAAAAAGGTGACATCACATGCACGGATATTATGTGTTCAGTCTAAAGGCACGTAATGTTTCTTTACAAAGTTACATCGCCAACTACTGGCCTAGCATTCATAATTCAACGTTTTTAATCGTTCTTACAGATCTGTATGAACAGGGATCATGTCATCTGTACACATCTACACGAATAGCACGAAGGAAAAACTTTTACGCTTTTTAGTACATTGTTGTTGTGTAAACATCCTTTGAGTGACAAGTCATCATGTCCGACTTGAAATAAACCAAGATTGTTAACGTTGCATCTAGGTAAGCTTTACTTGACTGGATTTTTGTTGTTGTTGATAATTTAGCATTTATTTATAACAATAAATTATATTTAAATGTAAAAAAATGAATTCTGTGGCAAACATTGTGTATGCGTCTTCACTCCCTTTTAAAAGTTTAGTAAGAGATCAGTAAGATTTTTTAAATGTTTCTGAAAGAATTCACTAATTCTCACCAATCCTGCATTTATTTACCCAAAAATATAAAGACATTAATAATAGTAATGACACAAATAAACTAACAATTTTGATCAATTTAATGATTTTTTTTCAAGTATTTATTTTTTTTAAAGATAAAAATCATACTGACCCAAAACGTTTTGAGTGGTTTTACAGACTACAGATGTGTGTATGTTAGCAGACTAGTGTGTGTACTTGCGCAGCAGGTTTTGATTAGTATGTTAGTATATTGCACACCGTCTCTCAGTAGACCGCCGAACACACATTCATCACACTCAGACTGGTACATAGAACTGCACTTTCCCAATATGTCTAAATACACTTTAATCACAGCTGGCCTGAGACAGCAGTAATACAATAATATCATCTCCCTCTGCCTATAGGCTCTACTTATGCTATGATATATGAGCAGTGAGCCTTCCATTCACTGTGCACATGTGTGTGTGTGTAAGAGAGAGAGCACCACGCTGATGGGCGTAAATGAGATTTGACTCTGACATAAAGCTAATGAACGAATAGTGATATAATGATGAGCCAATTATTCAGCCCCCATACGGCTTCTAACCGACTGTGTTATATGTGTGTATGTATTTGGCCGGGTAGCATTAGCTGGCTCATAGCTCCTGTTGTCTCTTAGCGTGGCTAATTTGATTAGCACTGCTCAGTGGTGGCGTGGGAGGAATGGGGCCAAAACAAAAGAGCCCGGAGTTAACAGAGCAGCTTGTGATAACACACACCCACATACACATATGCGCGTGCACACACACTCGCTCTAGTTTAATAAACTCGCGTCTCATATCACGGACATGCATTATAAGCCGCAGTGAGAACCAACCAAACTCCTCTCTCGCATCTGCTAAGTATCTACACCCCAGAGAGAGATGGACCGAGATAGTGAGAGTATTGTTAGGCCACTATTTCAAGCACAACCAACATAATAGTGGGCTAACTAAGTGTTTAGACATTTTCTCACTGAAATGGATTATATTTCGTACTATGTGTGATTTTTGTCCAATGTTTGCTCTGAACTGTGCCCTCTCTTCCATCTCAGGTGGTCTTATGGGGTTTTATTATGGGAGATTTTCACACTGGGCGGCTCACCCTACCCAGGTATCCCAGTGGAGGAGCTCTTTAAACTGCTGAAGGAGGGACATCGAATGGACAAACCTGCCAACTGCACTCATGAACTGTACGATTACGATTTCTTTTCATTTTAATGTAGAAAAACTCTTAAAACCTTCTTATTTTCTTCAAATTAAAATTAAGGACAATAAATATATAGTTTTAAAGTCATTCTAAAAGTGAAAGAATAGTAAAGTCCACACCACAACTATAATGATATTGTTGGATTTTTTTTTCAACTGATAAACGATAAAAACATTGACAGCCAGTCAAAATCCATCCTGCTTTAAACAGCTTGTCCTACTTTATCGTGCGTTGGTGTGGACTTCTATATAGTTATCTTGGTTTGAATCTCGTAATTTCATTGTTATATCTTGTTTTTACTGATGAATTTTATATTATTTTGATTTAATAAATAACGTCTGTAAGGCCGTGTGTCCACCAAAGTGTTTTTCCATGCGCCTGGCGTATGTTTTTAATTGTTTTCAATGGGAGCGCCACGTTTTTTAAACGCCATGAGCGTAACGAGGCGCTGAGCGTTTTTTCACGCTGAAGAGGCAACGTTTTTTTACTGGTCGCCGAGAGTTGAAAAATGTTCAACTTTAAAACTATAAATTCTTTCAACGATAAAACCCAGCGCTCATCACTGTCACTTCTTACCCAGCCGTCCAATCACAGTGGAGGAGGGGCGGAACTAATACTACACCAACTGTCACAAAATTCTTTCTGTACAACGACATCAACCAGCAGAGCTAACTGAACAAAATAGGTAAAAAAAAAAAAATTGAGTATGAAACAAATTTTCCGCGAAATCAGTTTCAAGTAAACTGTGCTGCGGATATTCTGTATCATAGCAACGAAACCTCTCTCAACGGAAAAAACGCTACCAAAAAGCTTTCAAGCGCCCAAAGAGCAGCGTCTTCAGCAGAGAGTATGGCGTTTTCAGCTGGATAAAAATGCTTTGGTGGACACACAGCCTAATGGTTCAGATTCGATTCAAAGGAAGTATCTGACTTATATACACACATTTCCAAGGGGGAGAATATTTGCAGGCCATGTCTTAAATACCGTCATTACTAGATGACAACCCAGAAGATTAATCTGTTTAAATTGACTAGTCAATAGACAAAAAAACACAATACAACAAACATTAATAACAACAGTCATTATGCAAATGGCTTCTCAATCAATTTATAATTTACTTTGTTAATTCTAGCTACATTAAACTGTATTCAACTTTTAGATTATTATTTCATCATACTATGACATTAACAGTCATTTAAAGGAATTATTAAATAGAAATATTACAAGACAAATGCTTAAGCCGCAGCCATTTTGGGTGTTTCCGCATGACGTTTCAGCAGTCGGAAAATTCTAAATTATCATTTCTATTCCTACGAGATCGCATTTGCTCGTAATAGTAATTTTAACAAGGTGTAGATGCACCAATTGATCAAGTTCATTTCTGGCGCTGATCAGTAAAATGCATATATTGTTTTGGATCGTGTGATTTGTGCAGGTACATGATCATGCGGGAGTGTTGGCACGCCGTTCCTTCACAAAGACCCACGTTCAGACAGCTGGTGGAGGATCACGACAGGGTTCTTTCCATGACCTCCACTGACGTAAGAGCTCTCGTTAACACCTTAAATCTCAACACCTAACTGTTAAAGCCAATTCTGATTAGTGTGCATTTGATCGTTTAGGAGTATCTGGACCTGTCGGTACCGTTCGAGCAGTACTCTCCAACCTGCCCGGACTCCAACAGCACCTGTTCTTCCGGCGACGACTCCGTGTTTGCTCACGACTCCTTACCTGACGAGCCCTGCCTCCCTAAACATCACCACCACACCAATGGGGTCATAAGAACATAAGGAATGGTGGTTTGTGGGGATCTTTCGGTTTGCTGGACTGGACCGGCATGTAGCGGTGTGCAGACGGGGTTCCCGGCACAGTGTGGATCTCAACGAGAAGCTTCAGACTTCCAACTGTTCACAGGTCTGAAGGACAGATTACGCTCCTGTCCTTCAGCTCCTCCTTTTCTTCCAAATCATTATTCAGCTTTTTGTCTTCGAAAAAGAGAATTCCTATTTTTGTATTCGGCCAGTTTCGTTTTTCCTTTGTCAGAAGGGTCAAACCATTCCGTGCCTACCAAAAAACAAACAGACTGACAAATGGCTGGACAGGAAACAAAAAGAACGGATCAACACTGTGTAACGGCACAGTTCTGAAGCGGTGGACGGGAAGGGGTTTTCACAGCAATATCTGACTGGAGTGAGAATCAAACCCATGGCCAGTCTCTTCTCTCCACTCCTCACAAAGAACGTTTTTCGTCCTTTTTTAATAAGAAAAGAGAGAAAGGTCTCCTAGATGTGAGATTTAATTAGAAGATATATAACTGTGTGCTTTGTATGTATCTTAAAGTTTTTATTGTAAATATATAGATATAAATATGTATCACATTGCAGTCAGTAGCAGTGTACTTAAGAAAAAGAAATGACATTTTAAAAGAGCAAGTGAGCATACACTGTTGAGATCATGTAAACATTTAATCTAAAAGAAAAAGCAAAACAAAAGTTTTATTTGATTTAACATGTATATTTGTAAAGCTATTTATAGACATAGGGTTTTTAAGGGGGTCTACAATTATAGTCGGGTTTTGGTACTGTAAACAAAGGGTTTTTCTTCTTTTAAATTTTGTAAGTTATTTACCACAGATTTACTTTTTTTCCTTCCATTTCTTAGTTTACATTGACAAGAATGTATGAGAAACTAATTGGTGATATCAGCAGATTAAGAGGATGAAATTATGAATTCTAAAGCAAGAAATAAGTATACTAGAAGTTGCTTTGCCCGATTCTCGGTATTGAATTTCGCGATAAAAGGACCACAAGCGCTTCTGCTCTTCACGAGGAAACCACGCCGATGTTCAGACTCACACTTAAAGCACTTTTCATCGTTTTTGTACAGTATGAAAAAAAACAAATTCATATTTGGGCTTCCATGCATAGTGTTTATCAAAACAATAAGTAAAAAAACATGGTTTTCCCTGAAGATGGGCGCTGTGATCCTTTCATATGAAGGAGTGCTATGTGGGTTAAACCTAACATGGCACATAGAAATATGGTGAAACCATACTGTACGTTATGAGTTTGTTGCTCTTATTTGCTCTTTTGCTAATGAATATGTATAATAACATTTTTGAGGTAATCCTCCGGGTCGGTGTGTTTGCAAAGTGCCAAAATCTTTCTCTCTGCTCTGAGTTTTATGTTAATGAGTACAGAACCGTTATTGCTATTCAACTCCAGCGTGCATGGTTGTCAGATGAGTGTCTCTGGCCCTGCGAATCGAAGCGAAGCATTATGGGATAGCTTGGACGTGTCTCAGGGTGTCCTCAGACAATTGCATTCAAGCAGAAAGCCGGCAATAATATAATATAATGGGGAGAAAAAGAGGATGATTCGCTTGCTGCTAAACTACGAAAACTGTAGATTTGATACGAGATGACTGTACAGCTCCCTCCTCCTGCAAAACATAGCATTTTTGTACTTGTTAAGTGCCTGGGAGGGAGTTGAGTGGCTGAATATTGCGACGTACGGTTTGAATGTACGGCCACATCGACAAAACGATATAAGCAGGGTGTTTCTTAAAACGATTGAGCAAACGGCACTTTGTTACCTTGATTCTCAGATTGGGTTCTCAAAGATATGGATGACGTCGTTCTGTAATTTCTTCTTCCAGCTGTGGGACAACATGTTTCGTGTTTTTGAGTGTTTGTCCATTCGTTTACTGTTTGGTGTGGGATGGCAGGGCAAGCGATCGCTCTCGGCTTCCATTTTTGTACAACCTGTAACCTCCGGCTCACATCCTCCGCTCTACTACTGACAGCCCTCTTGCATTGTTTCCAACCTATCAAACAATGTTGCTGGTCCTTTTCCCTCCTTGACACAGATCGACATTATTTATTTCCTTGTATTTATGTTTTATTTGATCCGTTTCCTTTCATGACCTTGTCTTGTTCAAAAGGCCAGCATTCCTTCATGCTTTTGTGTTTTAGGATGGAGGTAGAGCCGAGATGCATTTAGGGGTTGAAGAAAGTTTGCAATGTTTACAATGAACATCCAGACAGTGTTAAAGGACAATGTGTTTCCCCAGCACTTTTAAAGCGGCTGGATGATGAGCAATACTGGTCTGATGTCAACACACGCATTTGTTCTTTTCCTCTTAAGCTCTATTTGATAGTGCCATTCAGCTCTTATTAGAATTAAGATAATAAATTAAGTTATAGATTTAAATTCGCAAATGATTGTTGTATGTCGAGTAGATATAGGTGTGTTTTTCTTTTGTTTTGTTTCAATAGGGATGAAAACTTCTTTACAGTATTTTCTTGCAGAAGAATTGCATTGCATTCCAGGTAGATTTCTTTCTTCACGCGGTGAGGTGACATGTTTGCAGAATTAACGTCATTCAGCATCTGCATCCCTCTCTGTTTAACATAAGATTGGAATAGTTGACTAACAGTGTTTTGTTGTTTTTCCATATCTCTGTATGTGTGGAACATTCCGTTCTGTTTCAGTTGTGCCCCTCACGAGCTGTTAAACCTCTTTACACTCTATCAGTCTGTGCCTGACGGAATTATGCTGTCAATCAAAACCTTTTCAATAAACACAACAAAACGAGTGTTCGCTTGTCACTTACTTTTTAAATCTATACATGCCACGTTCACTATTTCATGTTTTATTTAGGCAGCAATTGGAATTTAATAAGCATATTATGATGTAATCCTCAGTCATGAGTCATGAGGAATACTAGTGATGCAACGAAATTTGGGCAACCCAAAATATATGAACAAGAAAAGAAAATGTTTTGGCCTAAATGCTTTTGGAGGGATGAAATCAACAGAAACAGTGATTGTTTAATTAGCACTTCTCATTTTGACTGTTTCATGCACCCAACAAGTCAACAGAGTGGACGCAAAAATTGTGTTACAGTTTAAAAGGTAAAAAAAAAAGGTAGCCATTTATACATTAATATGAACCCTGACAGGGTGATCATGATCACATGATCTTTTATCACCCTGTCTGTATTAATTTTGTGATAATAATGAGCTGCATTTAAATAATCCCATTTACCATATGTCTCTGTACTTAATAAAATAACATGGACATGAAATATGGGTTAACCTAACTTAAAAAGCAACAGTCTTTCACAAATAAAATATCACCCATAGATTGTTTCGTTGCTCCCTTGCCGCAACGCAATTATCTAATCAATCAATCACATGCATTTGCTTTCATGCATTTAGGGGTGTGGTCCTGCCCTGGTCAAGACAATCTCCTGAACTCCAAACTGAATGTCAGAATGGGAAAGAAAGGTGATTTAGCCCACTCATCTCCACTACAACTAGGAAAAATGGGCTACAATTTGCAAGAGCTCACCAAAATTGGAAAGTTAAAGACTGGAGAAATGTTGCCTGGTCTGATTGAGTCTCGTTTTCTGTTGAGACATTCAGATGGTAGAGTCAGAATTTGGCGTAAACAGAATGAGAACATGGATCCATCATGCCTTGTTACCACTGTGCAGGCTGGTGGTGGTGTAATGCGTTTTTTGGGTAATGCTCACTTTAGGCCACTTTAGGCCCCAACTGGGCATCGTTTACATGCCACGGCCTACCTGAGCATTGTGGCCACCATGTACCCATCCTCTGATGGCTACTTCCAGAATGCACCATGTCACAAAGCTTGAATCATTTAAAATTGGTTCCTTTAACATGACAATGAGTTCAATGCACTAAAACGGCCCCCACAGTCACCAGATCTCAACCAAACAGACCATCTTTGGGGCGGCCGGGAGCTTCGTGCCCTGGTTGAGCATCCCACAAATCTCCATCAACTGCAAGATGCTATCCAATCAATATGGGCCAACATTTCTAAAGAATACTTTCAGCACCTTAAATCAATGCCATGTAGAATTAAGGCAGTTCTGAAGGCCAAAGGGGGTCAAACACAGTATTAGTATGGTGTTATTAATAATCCTTTAGGTGAGTGTACATGACATTAGCATATCATTTAGTACCGAACTCCTCCAAAGACAGTTTATTACAGCCAATGGTCAATTTGAGGCCTAAGATGACACCAATTAACTATTTTAACATGCTCTCTCTCTTTAAACTAATGCAAGTCAGTATAGCTCAGTGGTGGCATTAGCAACTCTATGGACAGCAGCCTTACTAAAGCAACGACAAATGCTGTCAAACGATCACAAGTTACCTAATAGAATAGAGTTCTGAATAAAACAAAAAGTTTTAGACTAGGACAAACTGTCACACAAATTGCATTTGTGACAGTGAATGTCTGTTTGCTGGAGTCCTGCCTGCTCTCCAGAGCTGAAAGACTCAAATATGTCCTGAAGGGGAACATCCTGCTTCCCCGGAGCTCTGAAGAGACTCATTCAGTCCGTTTAGTGTGTGTGTTTGTGTGTGTGTGCTCGTGTGCGTGGACTTTACAGCTGAAGAGCTCCTTTCACAAATGTGTTTGAGAAAGCCAGGTCTAAATTGGTGTCTGATTCAGAGCTGTGTTTGCTCAGAGGGAGGCTTTGCATCCCTCATTCCTTTACACCTTTTTTTTTTATTCTTGCAGGGTTCTCTGACTCCCACAAGCCTCGATTTCTCTCATTTTCCCTCCCCACATGTCATCTTTCACTGCTCTCACCATATTACCAGGTTGCCCCACTGTGCAGTACTTTTAATGTAATTGCTTACGGTTCACTGAAAATCAGTCAACCAACCAGTCAGACTCTTCAAAACCAGACGCTCTATGGGCTTTGTCAGATTTGTAATCTTTCCATAGCCATATGTTACAAAGCGCTTTACAAACTTTTGGTTATATTTCTGCATAATTAGTTTTACTGAAGGCAACTTCAATGAGGACATCTGTTTATGTACAGTTGCGTAATATGTTTGGTCACGCAGTGGCACTAGTGATGCTGAAGTCACCCTAAAGAGCGCTGAAGGAATGAGCTGTGCATTGCTGCTGACAGCATCGGTGGCATGCTCTTAATGATCACAGAAAATCAATTTGACTCTAAAAATGCACCTACAGAAATGCACATACAATGTAACCAATAAGTAAAGCTTAGTTTATAACCAAATCGTTCAGACATAGGTAGTAGTAATAACTGCCTGTTTTTAAGTTCAATAATGCAAATTTCATGGCCAGTAAAAACTCTCAAAATGCCCAACCGTTTCACATTGAATCAATGAATCATTGAGTCAATCAATCAACTTTTCAGAATCAACTAAACACTGGATTTTCAAAAAAGTATGTAAAGTTCGGCATAGACTCTTTAAAATCCGTCCAAGAGTTTTACGCATCAGTCTGTTATTGTAGCGACATCTACATTACATTTTCACGCCCTAAACATAAAGCAGAACAAAACAAACTGTGATTGGTTGCTTTACATGTCAGTCAGACGGCCTCTGGGTGGTCCTTGGCCAATGAAAGCTGCTATGGAGTCCAGACCTTCTGCCGTCAGTCTGAAGGTCTGGCTATGTGAGACTTATGTGAGCCCAACTAGAGCCAACTTGTGGAACACTTTGCAAAAACTAGCCCCACAGACATTTGATGCGTCACAGCTCGTATGAGCATCTGATTAGGAATAATCTCCATTTCACAACTGCTCATATAACGATGGTGTTCAAAACGGCTAAAGGCTTCAGAATTCTACTAATGCAAAAACGTTGTGTTTGTTAGAGCTGATGATAGGCCACAAGATAACTGTGGGCACCTGGTACTCCACACTGCAGCTCTCACTGTGACCTCAGTGCTTTATATGTGGTATACATGGTATAAACATGCAATAAATACCAGATGACTCACTCGCCTTGCAGGGTATACGAATCCATCTTAGGGTCCTTGTAATAAGCAGACCATAATCTGTAGGTTTCTGAATTAAAGGGGTCATATCATGACTTTCAAAGCTCGAAACTGTCAAAAGACTATCTTTAGCTTTAGCTGCAATAATTATCTTTAGCTGCAATAACCTGTTTGTTATGAAATGACATCACAGAGGCTTTGCAATAAGATGGAGTGATGCAGAATATATTGGACTTAATAGCAATTGCAATCAAATCACAATTAGATCCCCCCTAATTGTGGGGTTGGAAAATGGTTATGAACTGAATTGACCATTGACTAAAATTATATTTGAACTACAGAGTTTAAATAATGCTTCTAATAAGTTTTAAAAATAAAAAGACCTTAAAAGCCATCCCTGTAACTATGACTTGTGTAGGGATGATTATTACTCTCTGTACCCAATGTCGGTCTGTATCCTCTCAGTCAACGCAGAATTTTCTTTCTGACCAAAGAAAAAAATCCTAAAAAGAAAGGATGCTGGAAATCTCCTCCCGCCTGCACTTAATTCATTTGATTTGTGTGTGTGTGTGTGTATATAATATATATATATATATATATATATATATGTGTGTGTGTGTGTGTGTGTGTGTGTTTGCTGGACTCATATCGTGCCAGACCTTTCTGTAATTGTTTCTGGTTGACTGTGTAGTGCACACTAAGGCACACACACACTCATCGGTGGTCTGAAGTATGCAATAACAGGCAGAGTTTGGGAGGCCTGAGCATAATTATTACCTTCGATGTGGTTACAGAAAGGGCAGAGTCACCGACTATTTTTTGCTAAATTTAATAAAGTAAAAACATGTTTTCATGTGCCTGTGTGTGCCCGACTGGCACTGCGTTGTGACCAGACAAGATGTTTACCGTTAGTCTGTGGCGTTGGACGGCGGAGCGGCAACATTTTTCAGCCCCTATTAAAAAGCCACTGCAGACACCAACGCTTATGACGCACGGAGCGAAAACGGGAGAATGGGGAGAGCAGCAAGGGCAGGCGGAAGGTAAAAATGACAAGTAAAGTGCGAAGGAGATGTTGAGAGAGGAGAGACGAGTCAGTTTGACAAGTCCAGACTGAAGCGGGCAGGGGTGAGAAGTTACTGACACTGACAGACACTCATGAGGAGGACTGTCCCACAAGCTCATTACCTTTGGCTGCATGAGAGAGATGGCAGAAGCATCATGAACTGAGTGGATGTGAATGCGACTGCCAACTAATTTAATATGATGTAAAAGTTGGAAATGTATGGTCACTGGCTGTCAAGTTCAGCAGAAATGTCGTTTATTAAATGAAAAAGGACATGTTTGTTCAAGATTTAAACTAAACAAAATAAATCACTGATTAGACTTAGCCTATAGTTTACCTGGCTGAAAATGAAAATGATGTCATCATTTAGCTACTCGGCCTCATGATATTCCAAACCTGTATAACTTTAGCCTATAATCAATATAAAATACCTTATTTTGTGTTTCACAGTAAGTCATACAAGTTTGGAACAACATGAGGGTGAGTGAATGATCATGTTTAGGTGAGCTATTGCTTAAATAACTCATTAAAATAGTAGTTCCATTGATCAAGTTTGACCTGCTACATTAACTGCATGATAAGCTCCATGATGCTTCTGTTTCAATGGTACGAGGTTATGAATACAGGAGTAAAAGTCAGATTCATAATTATAATTCTTATTTCTGCTCTCTGGCTATGGAGGTTTTGTGGCAGCATATTTGGCACCCTCAATTCCTTCAGATTCCAGATGTTTCCACAGAGAG